ATATATATATATATATATATATATATATATATATATATATATATATATATATATATATATATATATACACACACACACACACACACACACACACACACATACATTATGAGCTCAATCACTCCTTGAACTCATGTGTGTCTGTTTGTCAAAACCCTTAATATAACTTATACCATACCATCAGAATTCTATGTGAATAAACTGATTTCATATTAGTCATTATTCACAGGATTACCTAAATGAGCCATAAAGTGTTCAGCAATATCCAGTGAACATAGTCAAATATCTGTGGGTATTTCTAATATTGCAAACTTCCCTGGAAGTATATCTCTCTGATATGTCCCTACAATGAATAACATTTTTAATAATATTCCTTCTTTTTAATAGTTATGACATGGTCAGAATTTCTTGCCTGCCTAAATTTGACTAATATGCTTTCTTAGTGCTGATATATTGGAAGATGATATATTTTCTTTTGGAAGATATGGATTGTAAGTGTGATAAACCTTGTCAGGATGATTAGCTGCTTTAAACTGTCCCTCCATGGTGCTTCTACTGCTTATAATTATGTTCTAATGAGATTATTAACAGTTAATAGAGACACCCTATATTGAGAATTTATTTAAACACAGAAGAAATATGACACAAGGAAAGAAATCTCAGATATCTATAATATTTAAGGAACTCAATTAACTATCCAAATATTTTAATGTAGTTTGTAATGATGTAATTTATCATGCAGAAACTCTGCCCTTACTTAAAGACAAGTAATAGCTTATGGTAAAAAAGTTTTGCATTTTAAGAAAGGAGTAATTATAATGGAAGGAACTCAGAAAAAGCAAAACAAGGATCCAACATTGGTTTAATTTATACATGTTGCTGTTGCTTTTAAATTTTGCTTGTGTTTTAAGTAAAGATTTTGGAAATTGCTTTAGTAAAAAATATCTTTAAAAGTATGAGACATACATATATAAATAAATGACATATTTCTTTTTATATATCCCTTTTAGAATGCCTCGAGAATATGAACAAAATTCTGAGTGCTTTCAGTGTCATTCAGAATGCCTTGTGCAAAATTCAACTGAACCAATATATTTAACCTGCAGAGGACCTGTAAGTGCACATTCTTTGGCAGTTTTATTTCTTAAGAGTATTTGGGTGTGTTATATTGTTGTTCCATGCAGATATCAGTGTGCTCACATATAAACAGATTAATGTTCAAAAACTGCATATAATTTTACTGTATCCAATAGATGTCTCAATGAGATCACTGAATTCAGTTAGTAGCTGAATTCAATTAACATGAGATTTTGTCATAGCGATCACAAAAAAGAAAAAAGTTGGTTAATACAGGCTGGAGCAGAGAAATTATTCCAGATACTGCATGCAAAATTGGTGAAAAATATTTTGAAGAGCTTTACAACCAATGATTCCTCTGCTCATTTGGTTTCAGCCAAGTATCATGCTTGTTGCAAAGTGCTTGGAATTTGTACACAGCTTCTTGGATGAGAAGCGAAACATCTACAAAGAAAAACAAGAAAGTCCAGCTGCCTCATGAAAAAGCATCTTTGGGATAATTATGAGCTGAGAATCTCCATAGACAAATTTGTATACAGGCTGCATTCTGAAATGAAAAAGAGTAAGCTCAGATTCTCATGACCCAAGGGAGTCACCTATTGGGGAAAGATATTTTTCCCAGTAGTTTTCCTCTGGTAACATCGGAAAAAATTAAGAAGTTGGTAAAAAAGGTAATATCCGCTGAAGATGTTACCTAGCCTTATAATATTCGGAAATCAACCCAAAAGCTCGGAGAACAAACCTCCACCCTCATCCTACACCTGAGCTACAGATATTTGCCACTATTGCAAACTTAAATGGGCATGCAATGCTCAGACTTGCCTGCCACTGGGAGACTTTTGCTGCAAGATGATTGTCAATTTGCAAACAGCTACACTTCCTCCACAAATGCCCCTGCAAACAAACAACTGCCAAAAGTATACGCTACCGACCACCGAACAACCACCCACAAGCATGGAAACTAGCCTTCCAAAACAGACGCAAAATACTTCAATTCATGATCACTGATGCCCACAACCACCTGGGAAAATGCCAATGCATCATTGATGAACAAAAAAACACATGCCTCAAGTCCATTGGACAGGACCTGACAGACACTTTAGAATGCACAATCGACAGGAATGCCAACAAAAGACAAACCCAACAATGCAGCTCATTACAGGAGAAACTCAATACGATCACCCCAAAACCATAAGACAACTACTCAGAACTTTAGATCAGAAATCTATCAGACAACAAGAAAACCGTCCTCACATATGGCCTCAATTTCAACCACAAAGCCACTGACCCCATTAAATTCCTAGCCAATCTCGAATCCATTCTAAAAACAAGCCACCTGGACCAAGAAACACAAGAAGATATCAGGCAAAAAATCATCCCCAACATACAGTCTGATAGACACAACAAAACAGTCAGCCAAAAGGGGAAGAGAGCACTGAAGAAACTGAAACAAGATGAAACCATTGTCATTCTTTCGGCAGACAAAGGCAGACTGACTATAGTCATGGACAAAGCTGACTACATCAGCAAAGTTGAAAGCCATTTAAACCAGGGGTCCCCAACCCCCTGTCTGTGGACCACTACCATGCCAGCAACTGATCCGCACAAACAAGCAAAGCCCCAACCGTGGGATGCAGGCAGCACACAAAACCACGCAATCCACAGAAAAGCCTCTCTCCACGGAACCAGTCCCTGATGCCCAAAAGGTTGGGGACTTCTGATTTAAATGACACCGACATCTACCAAATAATTCACAATGATCTGACAAAACAGCTAGAGAACAAAATAAAAGATACCCTAAGGAAAATGGAAAAAGAGAAACAGCTAACACCACTAGAGAGAAAGCACATACAACCACAAGATTCCTCAACACCCAGATTCTAGGGACTCCCCAAAATATACAAGAATGTCACTGCACTCTTCATCTTGATTAACATCAACCTGGCTAAACAAATCATATATCACCTATTCACCAAACACCACACCCTCAAAGATGACTCCGCCACAGAACACTCCATGTCCACAGAAACCATTATGAAACTTCTGGATCTATGCCTCAACACATACTTCAAATTCAATGGGAAAATCTACAAGCAAGTACAAGGTACCCTGATGGGATCACTCATATCCAGAAGCAGTCATGCAATGACTCGAATCCATAGCCCTACCTACCATCCAACCAAAATTTTCAAGACGCTATGTTGACGACACCTTCATCATCCTCAATTAATCCTACCATACACAAAAGGGGTGTTGGAAATGACAGCCAAATTGAAGAAACACACTATCTACTCAATAACATATTCCTGGGATCAAATTCACACTCAAAGAGGAAACAGACAAAAGATTCCCATTCTTGACCAGCAGACAATGGAGAAACCCACTCACACAGATCAAATTCTCAACTTTGCAAGCAACCACCCCACCGCACACAAAACAAGCTGCATCTTTTCAGAAGGGCCAGGACACACTGTGGCACCACAGCACTAAGAAAAGCAGAAGAGAATTGGCAGCTTGAGGTCTTTCTCAACAATGGCTTGTATGGGAATACACACACCACCCAAACCACTACACACCACACAGCCAACCACTATGCAAAAATTAACCTTACCATACCCAAAAGAGGTGTTGGAAATGACAGCCAAAATTCTCCAGCCTCTAGGAATAACAAGACCGTAGCCCACAAACCCACAGCCACACTCCACCAGGAATTATCCAGAATCAAAGACAAGATATAGAAGGACGAAAGAAACAATGTAATTTACAAAATCAACTGTAACAATTGCAAACAATTTTATGTGGGACATACGTCATGTCAATTGAAAACCAGAATTCATGAACATCAGCTGACAGTCAATTGCCATGATCCAAAATCTCTAATTGCTACCCACACTGACACTGAACAGCACCTATTCAATTGGAGCAATACAAGAATCATCAGCCACACTACCACCCGCCATGCTTGTGAGTTTATTGAAGCATGGCACTCCACAAGAATTCCATCAACAGACACATTGACCTACCGGTACAACCAGCTTATGAAAACCTGAGAATTCAAATCAATCACACAACGAATCAGCAACATGCAACCCCTTACCAGCACTTCACCTCCCAATGAACCTCACCTGATGTGACCTATCCATCACAAGACCTGTCACAAAACCCTCACCTGATGTGACCCTCTCATCACAAACCCTATTGCCCACAAAGCCTTTATAAGCAGAAGAACACCAACATGACATCCCTTAAACTCTGCTGAAGATGTTACTTAGCCTTTGGAACATTTAGAAACCAACCCACAAGCTCGGAGAATGAAGCTCCACCCTCAAATCAAAAAGATTTGGGGAATTGGTAAACTACCAGGAAGAAGGTTGCTTATATTGTAAACTTCAGATTGGCATGAAATCAAATATTTCTTATGATTACTTATAGTACTGAAATCATAAGCAGAAATTGAAGAAAACTGTAGTCTGTATTCAGTTGTCACCCAATATTATAATGCTAATAGTAACTATTCACTTGCAATTTCTAGCATCATGAAAACATTTTCTAATAAATTTCTAACCACTTTCTACAAAATATTAAGCATGAATACATTCCTCTTTTTCTTTTCAATTCTTCTGAAAAAGTGAATGACATATCTATTTTTCATTGCAACTAATCAGGAAGGGTATTCCAGCAAATTGGGCCTGATTCAGTCTGCTCGGAAGGGAGCGAAGACACATATTTAAATGTCTTGATTAACCCATTAGAAAAATATCAGTCTGAATTATCTTTATAATTGTAATTAGATGAAGCAGATGGCCTTAGCTTTTCCTACAAAATAAAGAATATAATTAGATGTTCTTTAAAACCTCTTATACAAAATATTTAGCATAAGATGTTGAAAAATAAAAAAAAATAGATTTTTTGAAATTAGCTGTTTTTCAAAAATCAATAGGATACTGAAGTAATAAAAGATACGTACAAACGTTTATCTTCTGACCTGCAGCTATTTCAGATTTTATCATCCATCATTCTCACCGGGCAAGTCTTCCTTTGTAAATTCTTGAAGTTCCACGCATTTGATGGTGTAGTTTGACAAAGCCTGATCATTACTACATGTTTTAGTGTACACGCAAATGTATGTCACATCCACAAAAAATGCTGTGCTTCTTGTCCAGGGTCCTGGCAACTGCTTGAAGTGTGCTCATGTAATAGATGGTCCACATTGTGTTAAATCATGTCCTGCTGGCATTTTGGGAGAAAATGATACCTTAGTCTGGAAATATCCAGATGAAAATTCAGTATGTCAGTTGTGCCATCCAAATTGTGTTCGTGGGTAAGTGAATTTTTTTTGTCTTAATTGAAAATTAATTGAAAGGATCATATGTTATAATTTATAAAAATTCAATTTATAAACAAAACAGAACCTTAACTGGCTTAGGAATATGAAATCAATGCACAATCAAACATAAATAAAACTGATACTATAATTTATCTCTTTAGAATTTTTTATACTATAGTATTAAAAATTTGATAGTTTGGTATACTGTCAGTTTTCTTCTAGGGAACAAATATCAACTTTAATGAGGAAATTTAATCAATATAATTACATGAGTAAAAAAATGGTTGTAATGTTGCACAACATTATCATTTTCTTCTGATTTAAGCTTTCTCCCTATAACCATACTGATATGTCCACAAGATACTGTGATTATTCTCTTTAGCTATTTAAGTTCTTCATTTTATAAAGGCCTATAACAAAGCTAAAATTTTGAGAATTGGAATTGTAGTGACATCTGGTGGATAGTTAATATAAAATATTTCAGGGACCACTAATAGTATCAGAATATTGGCTTGTAAACCAATCTAGGAATTATGAGTCCACAGGGATTAAATCCAATTGTTTTGTACTGGTAATTGTAATTTGGTGCTAGTAATGACAGCATTCCACAAGAAAAATTCCTAGCTTTTCCTTAAATGTCACTTACTGTAAACTCTCTGTTTAATCGACCTTGGCTTAGTGGATTTCAAATACAATGGATAAATTATTTGTTCAATTTCCACTCACATTTAGTGGATAAATGTCCATTAAATTAAAGTTTTATGGTAAATGGTGCCATTGATTTCAATTGTGGAATAATAAATTGGTACAAAAACATATGTTCAGATTTAGCAAATTCTGCATGGTTTGTTATATTGAAGTTATACAGTATTCCAGAGGTCCCCAACCTATGTGCTGTGGCCTCTCGCATGAGTGGCTGGCCAGTGCATGCTTGCATGCATGAACGCTCACTCCCTGCCCTTGTGTCAGTGCCAGCTGAGCCATGAGCCGTTGCTAGCCATGAGCTGCGTGCCGGCGCTAACCGAGCCGCAAACCTCTCGCCGGCGCTAGCCAAACTATGAGCCTCGTGGCAGTGCTAGCCAAGCCATATAAGCCACGAGCCTCTCGCCAGCACTAGCTGAGTTGCAAGCCGGCACTAGCAGCCCCATTTGTGGAGCACGTATGCTCATGGCTCTGTTCGCGTGCATGCACACGCAGCCACATTTGTGTGTGTGTGCATGCATGCATAAAGGTGCCTGTCCCTCCCTTTCCCATTGGGCCACCCAGAAAGGTTGGCAACCCCTGCAGTATTCCATAGATACTCCTTTATACAACTGTGATATTTTGAAAGAGCAGGGAAGCGAATGAAATGAGCTGTATCACAGTCACAGAATAATCACATATGCTGAATTTTTTAAAACTAGTATACTGACTGTCACATTTCATCCGGAATAAAATGTGGGTTTTATAGTTCAATTACAAAATCACAATAGCCATGTCCTCTTTGATATCAAGTGTGTATTTAAACTGAATGACTTCTTGGTCAGTGTAAATCAGCGGTTCTCAACCTGTGAGTCGTGACCCTTTTTGGGGTTGCACGAGCCTTTCACAGTGATCGCCTAAGACCATCGGAAAACACATATTTCCGATGGTCTTAGGCAGGGCTCGTCAACCGTCTTCTCTCCCTCCCCCCCCCTGCTCCACCTCACTTGTTTGTGGAAAATATGCTGCTTGGCGGCAGTCTGCACAAACTCTACCAAATGTGCCCTGCAGGGGATGCATGAAGAACGCAGGCGCAGAACAAGGCCCCGCCCTCCCCAGAGACTCATTGTGCAGCAACCGGATTGACTTCTTCTCGTGCACGCAGGTCAGCAAAGGGGAGGCCGGGGCAGCACCCAACTCCTGCGCCCGTCAGCTGGCAACCCCCAAACTTGAGCTTGTCAGCCAGTCTCCTTTGCCACCCCGCCCGTCCTCAACTCCTCCCCCGCCCGTTCATGTCCAGCCCGCCGGGGCTTGACAGGGAGAAAGGGAGGGAAGGAGGAAGGGACTCCTCCTCCTCACCTAAGCTTCAAAGCACAATCGGCTTCCCAAGGGCGCCACAATCCTCACGAAAGCGGGGGGGAGAAAGCTCGCGGCAGCTCGAAGGAGCACCCCACAAACCCAGGGAAGGGGTGGAGAAAAGGAGCCCTCTTTGGGAGGAAACCACCACCTTCTTCTCCTTGGCTTTGCGCTCTTCTGTTCCTCGGCAGCTGGGCTGCCAAGCCTCTGCTGGCTGGAACTTCCTTTCCTTCCCTCCCTCTTGGTCTCTTCCTCCTTCCCTCCCTCTCCCATTGTCTCTTCCTTCCTTCCTTCCTTCCTTCCTTCCTTCCTTCCTTCCTTCCTTCGCCTCCCTCTTTGTCCCTCCTTCCCTCCCTCTTGTCCAGGATTGGGGCGAGCCTTTACAGCTGATCTGCGCTTTTGAAGAGCAGCCCAGCCCTTGCTAATTTAGCAGAAGCGTGAATCAGCCTAGCCACCTCCCCTTTTCCCTTCCTGGGCATGGAGGGGGGGGAGGAAGGAAGGGACGAAGAGGGAGGGAAGGAAGGGACAATGAGAGAGGGAAGGAAGGAAGGAACAATGCTAGAAAACATGTCGCTTGCTAATTTAGCAGAAGCGCGAATCAGCTGTAGCCCGGCGCTGATCCTGGAGCTTCTGCTAACTTAGCAAGCAGCATGTCTTTCGGTGAAGCTGAGCAAGTGAGCTGGGCGGAGCTCTCCTCTGTCTCTGCCTGTGCACAGGCAGCCACACTGGCAGCCTATCCACCTCCCCTTGTCCCTTCCTGGGCACGGAGGGGGGAGGAAGGAAGGGACGAAGAGGGAAGGAAGGAAGGGACAATGAGAGAGGGAAGGAAGGAAGGAATAATGGAAGGGAGGGAAGGAAGGGACAAAGAGGGAAGGAAGGAAGGAACGAACGAACAAGGGGAGAGAGGGAGGGAAGGAGGAAGAGACTAAGAGGGGGGAAGGAAAGGAAGGAAAGAAGGAAGGAAGGGACAAGGGGAGAGAAGGGAGGGAGGGAAGGCAGGCACCCACCCCAGTCCCATCCCAGAGACCCACAGATTCCCCCCCACAGGCACTCTGCAACCTGAGTGATCAGCTGGCCACGCCCCTAGCCATTGATCATGTGACCCTGGGACACTGTGAACGTCATAAGTATGAATCAGTTGTCAAGCATCCGAATGTAAATCATATGACCCTGGGGATGCTGCAACAATCATAAGTGTGAAAAATGATCATAATTCGCTTTTTCAGTGCTATTGTAACTTCAAACAGTCACTAAGCGAATTGTTGTAAGTCGAGGACTACCTATACTTTCCCATTTTTTCCTTTTTTGGGGGAGTCAAGTTTTTGATACCCCCCCCCCGCCCAGCTGGATGGGGGGTTGGGGGTCACCACAACATGAGGAACTGTATTAAAGGGTCGCGGCATTAGGAAGGTTGAGAACCACTGGTGTAAATAATAATCCTGCCAGCACATACCCAACAATGTACTGTTATTGAGAAATCCTTATATAAAAACAAAGTTGATTTCCTTGAAATCATATGGGATCTTTTTTTTTTCTGTGAACATTAACCACATATGACCTAAGTACATGTGTAGACATAATCATAAGGATCCTGGTTATCAGATCAATGTGCTGCTAAGAGTAGGTATTGATTTTTTTAGGAAGGTTCTACAGATTTGGCCCCTACATATAACAACATGCTACCCACATGGAAATGTTTTGCTCAAAAGTGACAATCATGTGGCTAGGATATCATGAATGTAAAACATCTCTATTGTCAGGATCTCCATCGTCGGCCTGGCGCTTTGCTGGGTTCCTGCCATCAAAGGGGAAGGGAGGGGGAGATATTTGGGGCAATCCACACCTATGTATCTAATGGTGGGAAATGGGGAGGAGGAAGTGACAATGGAAGAAGAATTTGTACCAAGATCTTCAAGGCCGTTTGCTTTGATGTTACCAGTTTCACAGCTTAGAGTTTCTCAAAACATCACATTGGCTGGCCAGGATACTGGTCAGGGGGGGGAGGGCATGGGAGTTGGAAACAATAGCTTTATATTTTGCACGGGAACACCAGATTCCCCCTGACTTTGCTGCAACTAGTTTCTTTCAGTAAAACTTCCTTTACTTCAACTAAATAGAGTCACAAGTCTTACTTTCCTGAGAGAGCAAACGGGGGAAGGTCTGACATCTACCTAATTAAATGTATTGCCTCATTCTTAAAAGCTACATAATCACATAAAATAACACAAAATGGATTTATGTTCTAAAGTTGTAGTTATAAGAGTGGTCTTTATGTTTGAATATACTGAATATACATGCGTGAATATACTGATGGACAAGTTGGAATGCAGAGACTAGTAAACTAATTCCATTTATAAAGATTAGTTCATACTTCAATCTATAGAGATACTTAGCAGATTTCAATCACTCTCCATGCTGATGATGCAGCTGTTGTTTTCCAATATAAAATGGCCATTGGTTAATAGTTTAATGGTTTGCTTTGTCACAATGATTCTGCAGTGTATAGTAGTGGAGTTGTTCCTCTTTCGTCATTGCAGTTGCCCGTAATAAGCCACACAGAGACAATGTTACAGTCAACATTGATTATTATATGTATACTGATAGAGATCTGCCACACAGATGGGAAAGCTCTAAGGAAAACTAGAGTGGAAAATAAAAAACTAGAGTGGAAAACTAGAGTGGAAAATAAAAACATTTCAAAAGGGAGTGGCAAATTACTTTAGTACTAGTGCTAAAAAAAACAACAGGAATGTGTCCACAATCCCGAGGAATAAAATTTGAATTAAAGAACAACTTTATTTTGTTTAACTTTAGGCTTAAGCAAGCCATTCATTTAGAATCACTTCATCATAGATTTATTTTAGAGTTACATTTGTGCTTTGTAAAAATCATTTTTACAAAATTAATTTGATTGAGAAATGTGGAATAATGCCTAAAGTCATTTTGGGTTGTGTTCCACTATGGTCACCATTGGTGGAATGAAAGAACTTTAAATATTTCTTACAGAATTATTTAAATGATTGCTTAGGTGCTGAATGGGAAGTTGTTAGAGAAAAAAGGCAGAATATCTACTATTGCTTCTTATTAAATAGTAACAGCAAGTCAATAAATTCATTTATTTATTTATTCACTCATTCATTTAACAAACTTTTTGATCTCCTATTTCCCTCATACAAGGGCTCTGGGCATTATATAATTTAATCAATATAATAAAACATTAAAAACCAAATAATTTAAGATTATTTCCTTATATCTTTCTATTATATTAAATTGTTTTTTAAAAGACTCTGGTACACATTCTGAGAATTTGTAAATATAATGTGAGAAGAAGCTTGCAGTATCATTTTTTTTCAAGTGTAAAACTTTTTGCCATCTTAACAAACATTTTAACAGAAGCAGAATATCAGCATACCAAAATAACAGAGTTGTAAGGGATCTTGGAGGTTTTTTAGTCCAACCCCACCTGCACAATAGGAGACCCTATACCAGTGACGGCGAACCTTTTAGAGACCGAGTGGCCAAACTGCAACCCAAAACCCACTTATTTATTGCAAAGTGCCAACACAGCAATTTAACTTGAATACTGAGGTTTTAGTTTAGAAAAAACAACTCATACATTAACATCTTTTGCCTTAAAAGAAAAACACAATAACAAAGCTTTCAATGATACAAACAACTTTTTATTGAAAGGTAAAAGTTTGCATTTGGCATGCTTTTGAACAATTAATGTGATTTTTGCTGCTGTATGCATGCTGATAATTTGTCTAACCTGGGCTCATACTTTGTAAGTTTGAGAGAACACATGCAGCACTCAGGTCATCAGTTAATCTGTTTCTGGTGTCAGATTTGATATAATCCAAAGCTGAAAACAGCTGCGAGCAAGCATAAGATGATCCAAACAAAGTAAGGAAAGCAATCCCAAGTGCTTTCATTGACTTAAAATTATTTGGCAGAGAATGCCACACTTTAAGGATTTCATTTTCAGAACTAACTGTGCTGTCCTTTGTCATCCTTGTTTTCACAGGATTGCTCTCAATAAGAGCAAGGTGTGCTTTGGCTCCGTTTTCGCCAGGAAGGGGCTTGGGAAATGGCTTTTTCCTGGTTAAAAACAAGCCTCTGAGCTCTGATGCTGGTGGAGTGAGGCAGAAGAGGCCAGAGCAGACCCCTCCCCATTTCCCCTCGCTTCCCCAAAGCCTCTCTTCACTAACCTCCTTTCCAGTCTGTTCTCCGCCACCACATGCAGGGCAACAAAAGAAGCTTGTGGGACTACAGGTTTAAAAAAAAGTTCAACCAGGCCTTCCAACTTTGCGAGATATTTTTTTTTTTCGGAGAAGTTGTAAGGTCAGATTGATTTTTTTTTTTAGTCCCACAAACTTCTTTTGTTGCCCTGCACATGGAGAATGGAGCTGGAAAGGAGGTTAGTGAAGGAATGTGGTTGCCCTGGGGTTAGGATTTGGCATTGTGGATGCCCTGGGGTGTGGTGGTGGTTAGGGTTTGGTATTGTGGATTGTGGAGTGTTTGTGCTCTGGTGGGGCTATTCAAAACACAAAGATTCCCTGCATTTTGAAGCACCCTGTGTGACTGCACGGAAAGGAACGCTCCATTTCTCAAGTGCCCCATTCCAAGCATACAGAGCTTGCAGTCTCTGCCAGATCTCAATTGGGATAAAGTCTTTTAGCTCCTATAGAGCGCTTCCAAATGCAGCCAATCCCTGCGTTTGGAAACGCTCCATAGGTGCGGAAACATTTTTTTATCCCAACGGAAATCTGGCAGAAGGCTCCGTTTCTCAAGCACCCCATTTTTTTTTCCCAACAGAGATCTGGCAGAAGGCTCTGTTTCTCAAGATCTGTCAAAGACTGCAAGCTCCATATACCTGGAATGGGGCACTTGAGAAATGGAGCCTTCTGCCAGATCTCTGTTGGGATAAAAAATGTTTTGGCACCTATGGAGCGCTTCCAAACTCAGGGACTGGCTGCATTTGGAAGCGCTCTATAAGAGCTAAAAAACTTTATCCCAAAAGAGATCTGGCAGAGACTGCAAGCTCTTTGACTAAATTTTTGCAGGAAAAAGCCATTTCTCAAGCCCCTTCCTAGCCAAAACAAGCCTGTTTGTTTTCGCAGGATTGCTCTTAAGAAGAGCGAGGCATGCTCGCTCCAGAGGCTTGTTTTGGTTAGGAAGGGGCTTGAGAAATGGCTTTATCCTGTGAAAACTTAGCCAAAGAGCAAGGTCCGCGTGCCTCTTCCCTAATTATCTGATAAACTATCCAGACCGCCTAAAACCACTGTCCTTCCCATGTTCCAGGAAGCCCCTTTGTCCATATCCTATCTTTCACCATCTAATTTTCTGTTAGCACAGCTCGGCTCCTATAGTTATTTCGATATTTCCTCTGCTTGCAATTTCAGTTAGCTAGCAACTTCTGCTTTTCTTATTTGTCTATAATTTACTTGTCTGATTTTATGACTTTCAGGTGGCTTCTTCTATCGACCTTCATTAGAAATTTCTGAATAATACTTTATTCCTTTCACCAAGTTTCTTGATTTGTTTACCCCTTTAAGGTTTTCATCTATGGAATCCTTTCCAAGCTCTAAGTTTGTTGAAATCAGCTCTCTTAAAGTCTAAGATATTAGTTTGATTTTGTTCTATTGCTTGTGTCTGCATTATATTGAATTCCAATATGACATGGTCACTCTCTCCCAAAGTTCCTGCATCTTCAACCAGCTCTGTCATTTCATCTATGTTAGTGAAAATTAAGTCCGGTATAGCTGATTCTCTAGTTCCCTCTATCTTTCGAATAACAAAGTTGTCAGCTAAGCTCATAAGAAACCTATTTAATTTCCCACTTGATGCAGAGTTTGTTTCCTAATTGATGTCGGGATCAGGGTAATTAAAATCTCCCATTTCTACTGTGGTGTGTTGCCTACATACATTAGTTAATTGGTTAGCAAAAAGTTCATCTATTTCTTCTGCTTGGTTGGGTGGCCTGTACTATATAACTATGGCAATGTCATTCTTTTTTTCCCATTTATATTGACCCATAAGCTCCTAAAGCATGAAAATATCCCATATGTGTGATACTTACCGATAAACAGCTTTCCCATTTCCCAAACCTTTTGATCTCACAATTAAAATAAAGAAAGGGTTGATAGATCTATTCAGATTATTTATACTTATCTGCAATTGATTTGTCTCCTGGCCTGCAACTCTACCATCAATGCAGTAGTCAATCATAATTTGCCCTTCCTAATCAATAGAAGAGCATAATTACTAGGGAGATGGTAAGTAAGGGATGTTTAACTTGTGCTGATATCAAGATATAATGATGGGATCCTTAGAATAGTAGGTAAGTCAAGCCATGAATTCTATTCACTGCATACAAATGAAAATATTTGATTTGCAATTATTCATGTATTTGCAGCTGAAAGGACAGATCCATACCCCATCTGGACTTCCCTGAACTGTTTTTACAGTGTTTGTGCCTTTCTTACTTTGATTTCTGAGATAGTACTACAAAATCTTTCCTAGAAGATCACTACTGATATTTTTATACCCATAAGATAAAAGAAAAGAAACAACTTTTGCAAAGTACTTCATATACATTTCTCTTAAACCACGATCATCTTGCCATGTCCAAATATGTTTATTTATAAGAGTTATATGAGTTATTACTAATTTTGTAGAAACCAACTCTTGTACTTCACAACAATAATAAAACTACAAACAAGAAAACTAGGCGCCTAATCCACAATCAGTGTATATGGTTCCCTATAGTACGGCTGACTATCTAATTTTATGTGGTTTATTTTAGTGTTTTTGTTGTGATTTAACATTTGTAAAATAAAATGAGAGACTTATGTCTTTATGAACAATGAGTTGCTTTATATACTCTCAATAGCAGAAACAGTACTTTGCTGGGATTGTGAATATATCTGAAGCTGACTGCCACAACAACTCTCAGTAATAATCACATGGTGTTACCCTGATGTTCACAGGGCAAACAGTTAAATGTTAAATTATAATATTCTGATCTCTTTTTAATTCTGTTGCTAATCCTTCTTATTTTCCTTGCATTTGCAGATGCAAAGGACCTGGACCTGAAGGCTGCCCTAATGGGTAATTATTGTTACAGCTGTGTCCAATTAAGCCAAGAACATTGTGGCAAAGGAAAGCAGATTTTAATAAAATAGATTCTGGTACACAAAGTATGTTTCTTTAGTTGTAGCTTTAGAAAACAAATCCAGGTCCACTATTAGTTTACATCAGTTTACAATTTTTTTTAATATGAATGGTCAAAAAGGAAGAGGTACTACATTCACTGTACTCCAATCACAGCATGAAAATATTAGCCAATAGGAAAGAGATCATTAATCCAATCTTATTTTTTAATCAGTTAATGGATAGAAACTGTCTACTATGCTGCAGTGCTTCTTAGGTCCTAACCACATAATCACATCTTTGTTTTGTACAATATTAATTTTCCTAATATCTAATTTTCTAAATATAGAAAATTTCACATAGCTGTATTGAAAGATACAGATGATATAACTTTCTTTTTATGTTTAGCAAATATTATGAGGATGCATATCAAATTATAGTTTGATGATCATAATTTTACAGAAATGTAAATGAACTTCACAAAACATACATGCTCTTCATTCAGTAGCCTAAATCAGGAAACTAAAAACAAAAATATTAATACTACATTTATTATTTGTGATTACAACAACAAAATCTTGCAAATCTGCCAGTGCTTCTTCTTTCCTGTACCATTATCTTCCAGAGAGCTAAGGAGGGTCAATTCTGAAGTGCTTTCTCCTCTCCCATTCCTACTTTGGACTCAGATTTATCTTATCAGACTTTTGTCTAGACTACAAGCCTTCCTCCTGTCCCTCAAGATTATTCTCACAGTCCTTACAACTTCATTGCTTCAGACTGCATTTGGGGACCCACTGCCTGAATGCTTCATTACACTAAGTTATATTTTATTCCCTTTCCTTTTAAAAAATATACTCTAAATCAGGGGTCCCCAACCCCCAGTCCGTGGACCAGTACCGGGCCGCGGCATGCCAGCAACTGGGCTGCACAAACAAGCAAAGCCCCATCCACAAGATGCAGGCAGCACACAAAACCATGCCCCCTCCAGTCCGTGGAAAAAACCTCTCTCCACGGAAGCGGTCCCTGGTGCCCAAAAGGTTGGGGACCTCTAAATGCTCATGAACGATGAACTGGCTTTATCATTACTATATAGGCAATAATAACTATTTTTGTCTTGTAGATCTAAAATCCCATCCATTGCAGCTGGAGTTGTTGGAAGCATTCTTTGCTTAGTGGTTATAGCCCTGGGCATTGGTCTTTTTGTCCGTAGACGTCGGATTGTTAGAAAACGTACTTTGCGCAGACTGCTGCAAGAAAGAGAGGTTAATATAATTAATGGTTCAGAAAAGAACTAACTAGTATGGACTCACAATGCACTAGCATCTCGGAGACTTTCTAAGTTGTCTGTTACTCTGTATTTGTTTCAATAGGAATTATGACCTTTCTCTCTGGGATGAAACCACATTCTTCTAGCTCATAAAAGAAGATAGTATTTCTAAATATTTGTATATTCCTAATAGTATTAGAGCTATTATAATATAAATAAAGTCATGATGGTATTTCTAATGAGGAGGAAGCTGATTGTTTTTTAGCAATGTTTTGCCAAGTAATTTATTATGGATTTATAATATTATAGCACAGATAGGTTTGAATCATTGGTTTTATGTTTTTTTCAAAAACCACCCTGACTTGTACACTATTATAGTTAAAAAGAAACTGTTAAGCCATGTCCTTTTTGATTCAATAGCTTGTTGAACCTTTGACACCAAGTGGGGAAGCACCAAACCAAGCACTTCTAAGAATCTTAAAAGAAACAGAATTTAAAAAAGTAAAAGTCCTTGGCTCTGGAGCTTTTGGTACTGTCTATCAGGTAAATTATCATCTTTTCTGAATATGCATGTATGTATTTGTGTTTGTATACTAGTGAAAAATTACTTCTGTATAAACTTATTTGGAATTAAGTCCCACTGGCAACAGTAATCCATAGAAACTGTACATAGAATCATGCTGTTGCACACTCAAATTATTATATGATTTTAAGATATATGGTACATTTATATTTACTGTATTAAAATCAAAAACCATTTATCCAGAAACTAAATAATTTATATTTCCATACTTGTTGATCGATGTATTAAAGTCTGTTCATAATCTATTTTACTTGCTTATTGTCTTAATTTCTATGTTAATTTTACCCATTTTGATTTTTTCACAGGGTCTCTGGATTCCAGAAGGAGAAAAAGTTAAAATTCCTGTAGCCATTAAGGAATTAAGAGAGGCTACATCACCCAAAGCTAACAAAGAAATTCTTGATGTGAGTTTTCTTTTTTGTTGTTGTTGTTTTTTGAAGATTTAAAATATTGGCATTGTTGGTGAAGGTGAAGTATTTAACGGGGTTAGGCAGAAAGGCCATGTTTGGATTCCTTCAAATAGATTCTCCATGACACCTACCCATAATTGAGCTTGGAGTTACAGTCATAAGTCATTGCAGTTGTGAGTCAAGGCATGATGTGACCAAAACTGATTTTTTGACATATATTTTTTTGCATCAGTCATTTGCAATCAGGATAGTCATTAAGTGAATTAATTTTCTCCAATGGTTATTTTTTACTTGAAACCAGAAGTAAACACTAAAAAAACAGCAAAAAATATTGCAGTCGTGCTCATAAGACCATGGCATGCTGCAAATGGCCATAAGAATGTGCTACTTATTAAGTGCCCAAAAGTAGTCATGTGACCATCTGCAGCTATTGTAACTTTGGAACTCGGTCATGAGTAGATTTTGGTCTGTTATAACTTCAAATAGTTGCTACATGATTGGCCATAAGTTTTTTGGTTTTTTTCTAATATATTTTATTGATTTTTTTAAACATAAATCACAATAATTGGTGAACAGTGTGTTATCTGGGTTACATTTGTAAAACAATCATTAACAATTGATTTCTATAATCCATAATCCACATAATGGTTTTAGTTGATTTCCTCTTTTCCCAAAATATTATCTTTTGCAAACATTGAGTTAATACAATTCCTATTGTTTTGATAGTTAACAATTATATATATATATATATATATATATATATACACACCCATATTCCTAAAAATAATAGTCACATCAATATAATATTTCTTTTCTATCCAATCATTCTGGTTCCCTTATCATAGATCCTGTTACAGTCCTTATTTTAATTTGTTTCTCCCACCAAATTCTAGGTATTCTTACTGGTTAAGATTTTCTCAAAAATTAATTACATTTTAAAATTTAACTCTATTTTTCCACACAAACCATCTCACACTTTTACATTTCTTAAGGAATAGATAAAACAATGGAAAAAAAGAAAGCAGAGCAAGAGTAAGGAAACATAAAAAAATAACATACTACTTAAAATATATATCCCTCCTAAGCTAATATATATTTATTTCCTAAATTTCTTATTCTTTTTAACCATAATTAAAAATATGTTTAATCTTTAAACATTCCATTTAATACATCTAGTCATCTAATCCTTTAACTTGTATTTAAAACATTTTTATCCATTATAATTTTCTTAAATTCAATCACATTTAAGTATCTAAAACATTTCCTTTATCTATGTTCAATTTTTTATATTACTCATATCAAGAAAGAGAACAAAAAAGGGAAAAAAGCATACTATATTATTTAGAATGACATATATATTCCAAAACTTTTCTATTTCTTTAACCATATTCAAACAAATGTTTCTTTTTTAAGTATTCTCTCTGGTAAGTCCCATCATCTATTTTCTTGGTTTCCACTTTAGTCTTTTTCCTTTGCCCAATATCTTTCTTAATCAATGTATTTTGCTGAATCAAAAAGTTTTTCTATATGTTCGTAAATGTAGATATAAAAAGTAAATTAGGTGAAGTGTCTTTGTATGGGGCTTCTGCCTTTCAACGTTTGTTGAAAATCTTTTTCTTTTCCTTTCTCTCTGCTTCTCTTATCATTTCCTTTTCCTCCAATGTTCCTGACATCTCTACAGTCCATTTTATTCAATCTGTTTTCTTGTCCTCAGATTTATTTTGTAATCCTAAAGGATAAGTTATTTTTTCCAATTCTTGTGAATTTTTTTTCCACTAGGATTAAATTATTTTTCCTTGTTTTGTTAAGTTCCATCTTTAAGTCTCTATTCTCAATTCTATATCCATTTATCTGTTTTATCTGCTCCTTCTCAGTTGTTGTTTTCTGGGATTTTTTTTGTTGTAGAGTTAACTTAGAAATAGATTGATTTATATTTTCAACGTTATTTTGGATTTCTTTGTGGTTTAAAGTCATTGTTGTTTGAATTAGTTGCAGTATACTATTTATCTCCTCCTGTGAAATATTTATGTTTTCTTGATATGTTCTTTCTACATGTCTCTGATCCATGATGGCCAAGAATTTGAGTTTTTCTCTTCCTTTCTTTTCTCTGCAAATAGTTTTAGAGTCCCAATTAAATAGATATTTGTAATCCAAATAGTAAAAAAAAGTTTTTTCCTGAAATTTATAATTCTCTCTTTGTCTACAGCGCAGATTATTGTCTTTTTTTGTCACAGCTATTCTTTGTTGTTAAAGCTTAGAAGGTCACAAACACAGATTAGCTTTTCCCAGGTTTTGCCAAGTCTTATATTAAAGTCATAGCTGTTGTAGTCTTCATCCACCACTAGGTGTCAGCAACTATTTGTTTTTCAATTTCATATATTTTGATCCTCCATAAAAAGATTAATTTGCTGCTTCCGTTAGTATAAGGGTGGGGAGGAAATCCCCCTCCTTCTCTTTCGGAAGTATTTTGCTTCTTGGGGATCTTTTCCAGGAAATTAAATGTAGAATAGAAAAGAGAAGATCGAATTCTCACCATTTCAAGCACGCCGTTCACAGTTGTGCTGGTTAGTGCTTTTGGACTTCGGTTGCTAGTAGCTTGGGCTGGTCGATGCAATATGGCCAGCCTTTCTCCTGTCAGGTTAGAAGGCTTTCCCCAAGTTGAATGGAACGGCCACCACCATTCCATAATCGCTGGTGCACCCTTCTTTCTTCATCACCTATCCGGGGTGACTTAGACCCATTTAGGGTCCCCAGGCAGGGCGAAATTAGCCACAGGGATACAGAGAATCTGCAAGCCCGTGACCGGTCGCTACTACGCAAAACCCATGATTGGCCATACGTAGAGGACTACTGTATTTAGTATTTCCAATCTGTACATTTTTGACAAATTTTATGTAAATGAACTGAAATTTACAACAAAAAAAAGCAAAGGCATATTTAGATGGGCAAAATTGGGAGTGGGTTTAGAAAAGGTTAATTTGTTTCAAGCAATTACTTTGTGGTGCATAAGAAATGCTCTCCTTCCTTTATCTTATCCACATAATTATAAAATGTTACTATTTTGAGTATACCACATATGTAGACAGCATATTGTTCCTTTGCAGAATGAGTTAAGTTATGCAAAATGGAGAAAATGAATGCAAAATAATTAACTAAAAAAACTAAAAGGATTAAAAGAAAATTAACTAAATCTTGTCTGTTGCAGCATCATTCACTATATCATGTAGTGATTTTTATTATTTAAATTTTTCACCTCTTTCCAAGGATCTTTTAAACTCTGTTCTAGCATTATTTTCCCAGTCTTCCTTTCAACAAATGGATCCTTTCTTCATATATTTATTCTCTCAATTTTCCTTATTCATTGTAGAATGGATTAACAAGCTGTAGTTATCTATTAAATATGCCTTAAAATGTCCTTAATCTCATAGTGCTCTTCTCCTTTTACAAGATCTGGAGGTGGAAGGGGTCCTTCTACTGGCCTTAATTTGGAGTCTCACACGGGTTTTAATAGACTGCAATGAAACACTGGATGGATCTACCTAAGGCTTCTCGGCATCTGCAACTCCACTGCCACCAGATTTATAATCCATATGATGGGGAAAGGACCTACATGCATAGTACCTAGCATTTTACAGGCCTGTCTTAGGTTTAGATACTTTGTGGAAGGTCCCTTCCAACTTTACTATTATTATTATTATTATTATTATTATTATTATTATTATTATTATTATTATTATTATTATTATTACTATATACCTTACCGCCCATTCGGAATTCCCTGTGAGGGGCCTCTTCTGGTCAGGTTGCTTTTTCTGGGCCTCCCTTGCTTTATTTAGTACCTTGCACACTGTAACCCATGTGTCTCTTAAGAGAATCCATCCACTCTGCCAGTGTTGCAGAGGATAATGCTCCCTAGAGAAGCTCCGGCATGCTATGAACTCAACCCTAGTAGCCACCTTAAAAGAGGTAAGTCCTGTGCTGCTATGCACCGAGTTATTGTAGGCCACTTCAGCAAACAGCAACAGCTCAGTTAGTTTGTTTATAATTTACATAACATCAACACTATTGAGTTAGCTCATTCTGCTGCCCAGTTAGTACTGGATGAAAAGTGGAACTAAGCCCCTGAGATGAGCCTATCAATCCCATGAACTCCCATCAAAACTTTGCAGTAATGGCATCCTCTTTGGTACCCCTTGCAGTCTGTAAGTGTGCTGCATGAACATTTTCGATAGGACTCAGGGTAAAGAGAGATTTAGGCCCAGTAGGAAATGTGCCTGCTTGGGAAAGAGATCAATAACAGTCCACATTACAGTGTTCCCGCCACTATCTGGCAGCTCAACTATGAAATCCATGGCTATTTTCTCCCATGGCAGGATCAGAGCATGCACAGTCTTATTGCACTGAGATAATCCAGGAGTAAATACAGTAAACAGTGGTCTATATTAAATTGTGGTTTATCTTACACTATCTACAATATCATACATCAGGAACAATATATATACACATGGTAATGCAGCAAACTCCAACACACAGCAGTTACAACAGAAAAACAGACGAAAGAGAGAGAGAGATTCCAGTAAAGACTTTCCTTTTATACTCAGCGTCTTAAAGGGATTCAGATCCTGCTTGCTCTTAAAGAGACACAGACCCTGCTGAGTCATTCCTATCATTGCATCATCCACTTTATATTACATTACATCAGCTGGTTAGCGTTTAAATCATTACCCTGACAGGCTGGTTACCAGCTGCAGCAATCCAAGGGTCTTCCCTGGCAGGCACTTCATAGTAGCACAGACAGGGCAACTCACTACATAGGATTCTATGTCTTTCTTCACCTTTGGCCATCAAAATTGTCCCTTTATAAGGTGTACGATGTTCATGAATCCAAAGTGCCCTGCTGGCTTTGCATCATGGTTCCTTTGTAGACCATGGTCCTCTGGCTGGCTGGGATATACACTTTACTCCCCTTCTACTCTAAGCCTTGCTTCAGCATCAAGTCTCTCTCATGCTTTTGGAACCACTCATCCTCTCCCAGGGCGTCTCCTAGTTGCTGGATCAGATAATCTCCTCCTGATCAAGAGGGTCATTCTATTGCTGTTTCATGTGCGCCGGTGCTGCAAGTTGTTTAGATGGGGTGATAGAATTAACTATCTCTTCCCTAGTGCTCTTATATTGAGGAAGGCATGAGAGGCATCTGCTAAGAAGCTTTTTCTCCCTGGCAAATAACATAGGGTGAAGTTGAACTGGTTGAAGTATCGAGTCCATCGGGCTGCTTAGGGGATAATTTCCTTGGGGCCTTCAGTGCTTCTAGGTTTTTGTGTTCAGTCCAAACTTTGAATGGGATTTTACTGCCCTCTAAGAACTGCCTCCAGGGCACAGTGGACAGTGTAAGCCTCCTTCTCCCAGATGGACCACCGCCTTTCGCTATCAAATATTTTCCAAGATGTATAGGCATAAAGTTGCAGCTCTCCCCTTTCATTTCTCTGCAATAAAACCACCACCACTGCAACATCACTAGTGTATACCTGGATCACGAATGACTCCCCTGGGTTTGGGTATCTCAAGATTGGCTTAGCAGTGAAGAATCTCTTTAGTTTCTCAGAAGCCGCTTAGCACTTGACAGTCCAGTTCAAGGGTTGGCTTGGTCTGGGCCTCATTCCCCTCCCCATTTTTAAAAAGTTCATGATGGCTAGGACTATCTGCGGGAACATTGGAATGAATTGCCTATAGAGGTTTGCAAATCCCAAGAAATTCTGCAGTTGCCTTCTGGTCCATGGGGCCTCCCATTCTAAGATCTCCCTCACCTTTCCTTGGTCCATTTCAACTCCTTCCATAGAGATATGGTATCCTACATAGTCTAAACTGGTCTTGTGGAAGTCACACTTGGATAGCTTCGCATATGGCTGAGCTTTAAGCAGTTTATCTAGCACAGCTCTCAATAGTTTTACATGTTCTTCCATTGTCTCAATATAGATTAAAATATCATCTAAGTAGACCAGCACCCTCCTATACAGGTGCTCATGTAGGACTTAATCAGCTGCATAAACATGGCTGGTGCCCCCTATAGTCCAATGGCAACACGCGGAATTGGTAGCATCCTAAGGGGCAGTTGAACATGGTCTTCCACTCATCCCCTTCCCCAATCCACACTCGGTAGCATGCTTCCCTCAAGTTCAGCTTAGTGAAAATCTTCTCCTTGGACAAGTAGCTCAGCATGTTCTTCATTAAGAGGAGGGGATATATGTTTTTGACGCAAATGGCATTTATTCCTCTATAATACATACACATTCTCAGGTACCCCTCTTTCTTCTCCTTGAAGAGCACCAGGGCTGTCACTCTTGACTTGGCTGGCTGGATGAAGCCTCTAGCCAGATTCTTGTCTATGAACCCTCTAAGCCCTTCCATCTCCCTGGGTGTCATGGAATACATCTTTGGCTTTGGCAGCTTGGCCCCTGGCACAATTTCAGTGGTGCAATCTATTGGCCAGTGGGGCAGTAGCACATCTGATTCCCTCTCACTGAACATCTCAGCAAGATCATGGTATTCCCCTGGAATGGGCTATTTCAACCCCTTACCCTCTGTTAGTGTGTTAGCCAGTTCCATTTTTGCCTCCCTAATCACAGGCTCATGGCTGGCACCCAGTGCTTTCCTCAGTTCTTGCTGCTTAGCTATTCTCTTTCTCATGCACCACTTGTTATCACCTCAATCTACTGCTGGGTTCCACTTCTTCAGCTAGGCTAGCTCTAGGATCATAGCCTCAGTCATCCCAGGGGCTAAAATAAAATGGATAGTCTCTCTGTGATTCTCAAGCTCACTGGCCTTCATCAAGCAGATCACTGGCAGCCCCTCCTCCCGATAGCTGTTCAAATCCCATGGGCCACCTTAGCTTTCTGAATCTCAACCCTAACTTTTCCACCGTCAGCAAGCTGATCAGGCACCAGGTACAACCTGAGTCTAATAGGGCAGTAAAGGTGACATTTACCCACAAGTAGTGCACCAGAATTTCTACCTGGGGAATCATTGGAGTGATGGTGCAACTGTTTCCTGAATAATAAACAAGCACCTGATTGGATATTTGTAGATAACTGGGCATCGGGGGGGGGGGGGGAGGAAAACTTTGTGTTGTTAGCATGGAAAAACCTCAGATTCAGCTTACACTATTTCTCTAACCATTTAAGCTTCAGTAAAGTATATTCTTGGCAAAACAAATGGCCAGGAATGTTCCTTTGCTAGATGACTGAGTGGAACAGATGACAAAAAGTACAATTACTTGATAATGAGTGATTCAGTATATTATGACTAAGATATTATTTGATTGGGCTTTCAGAGATTAAAGAACTAGAACTGATGAAATCGAAAGAAAAAACACAGTTTAAGTCATTGAACAAAAAAGCTTTTTACTTTTGAGAGGAGATGAAATTTGATTTATTGAGGCTAATTGTTATGGCTTCTCTTAACATGGTCTTCATTAGATAATGACACTTGCCATAATGTAAAATTTTCTAACAGTAAGTGTGAACATACGTATTTTCTCTTGTGATTATATTTTCTGTTTTCTCTCCCATTCTCTTTTTTTATTTGTACAATGTCTATTAAGATCTTTATAATCTAATTTACAGGTTTGGAAAATGTAGTGGCAAATTATTTTCTTATATTTTATGTAGTATTAATTTGTTTATTAATTGTCAGGAATCCTAGCAGTGAATGGACAGAAAAGCATCAAAATATGTGTTGGAACCATTAATTTAAAAAATTATGTTGCTTTTAAATAAATAAATTAAAATGTTATACTATATAACAAATAATGGATTTTTATTTTATTTTTATTGAACTTTATTCAATTAAACTATTTTGTTTTTATTTCAGTATTCTTCTTGAGATGGTAATTTACACTTTACAAGTATACATAGTTGAAAGTTGTCATTTTGATATGTGGATATACTGTACCTATTTAGATCATGTGCATTAAAGAAGAGAGAAAAAATTGACTTCTTCCTACAGGACTTCTATACTGATGCAATCACCTTTTTAAATGAGAGGAAAATTTAAAATATAATTGTCCTATGTTGAAGTGTAATGTGTCAATTCTAGCCTTCAGATTAATTCTCATTCCACATAGAATTTAGCATGATTCAGATTAATTCTGTCTATATATATATTTTTAATTACATTAAAAATTCGAATCCTGGGTGATGCCATGTAGTAAAAACAAATAAATACGAACACCAGGATAATATCAAACTAGGATTTGTTTAATAAAAATGTTGAGCTTTCGTCGGCCAGCACTGCCGACATCATCAGAGCATAGAAACAAGTCAATGGGAGTTCCCTTTTTTTTTTTTTTTATAACGCCGGCCGATTTTGCGCACGGCTCCTGGACCTAGTCATCGGTCCATCTGATGCCTCTGATTGTTTCATTCTTGGAAGGCACGTAATCGCTTGATGGTTTTTAAAGCCGCAGTTCCCTTATCCACTTTTCTTTTCTCCAATCCCCTCCCTTGTGCACCCCCCGCTGTCTGTTATTGCACCACTAATTTCTAGGGCTGCTGCTCCCCCTTTCTCCTTCTTTTTGCCCATCGCTTTCTTCGTATGTATCCAATTATCCAGATTCGTTGTTCCCTCCTCTCCCTTTTTTTTGATCATTCCCCTCATCTGCCCACAGCTGTAGTCTCAATGATTTTTAGGGTTGCTACTCCCCCTCCTCCTTTTTCCCCAACTGTTGATTCGCTCGTGTGTCTCCAACCACCCCCTTGTGCTACACACTTTCGCTCATTCCCTCTCCTCATCTCTACCCCAAGGCATAACTGTTCTGTCCCTGGCGGGCTATTGGCAGGATGTATATCCAATATATATATTGGTGACTCAGGTGACTCTGAGAGATTTGCATCAAGATAAAACCAATCCACTCAATTATTATAAATAAGAGTTTTGAAGGGGGAAGTGGGGTGCCTTCTCTGTTAGTGCACCAACTGCCTCCATCCAACAATTTCTCCTTAAGGACCCCATGCCAGTCAGCACAGCCAGATTTTCCTGAAATCTAAAAGAAAGGGGGTAGATCTTACCTTCTGAGACAAGATGTTATATCCTAATATTATAATTTCTCCCACAGTAGGTATTTCTCTCTCTCTCTCTCTTTTGATTAGGAAGCATATGTAATGGCAAGTGTCGACAATCCCCATGTGTGCCGTTTGCTGGGAATTTGCCTCACATCAACTGTCCAACTCATCACTCAGCTTATGCCTTATGGTTGCCTTCTTGACTATGTCAGAGAACACAAAGATAACATCGGATCCCAGTACCTTCTCAACTGGTGTGTGCAGATTGCAAAGGTATATTAACAACAAACTGCATCTAGTTCTCCAAAAATGTCTATTACGTAGACCTAAATTCAGATTTGTCACTCTGATCTAGCTGATGCCTACAAGCAGTTCTTATTTTTAGTTTCCACACATGCTACATTAAAGCTTCCCTTGAAATCTTGGGTGTGTTTTAAAATTCATGTAAGTCTTCAACTAACAACCAATTATTTAAATTACAACAGACTCAGAAAGGGTACACTTTTCCCCTTTGCAGTCAAATGATTACAGTCTGGGTATTGGCAATCTGTTCAAACAAAAAGCCGTGCAATCATTTGATCATGATTTGCAATCTTCTCTTCCAGTCAATGGAAAAACCAATAGGGAAGATTGCAAGCTGCTGCTGCTGCTGCTGCCTGCTGACAGGATGCCTTCTTGTCTCAGGGAGCTGGCTGAAAGAGCTTCCTACCAATGGGAGCTGAATTCCTTTGGTAAAATGAAGAAATGGAACTCAAATCCCAAAGATCCAAGCTGTTTCTGAAACTCATCAAAGCAGTTCTCTTACATATCCAGAAGAAAGCTGAAGTCTTCTAGCAGGAACAGACACCCTGCCCCAGTTCTACAGTCTGTTAGAGCAGTTCCTTTCTATGCATGGAAGGAAACTGAACTCCTCCAGCAGGATGCAGAAATGGAGCTCAGATACATTCCTCTAGCTCACTAGAGCAATTTCCTCTCTATACAGTGGGGAACTAAACTTGACAAGGTGGTTTTTTTGCACCATCTCCAACCCAGGAGATTGCTTAACAATCACAACCAGGAGTGCCAGGAATGTGTTTTAATAAATACCTATTAATACAGCCTTGCTCTGCAGATGCACTCATTTTTTACTACTGCTGTAAAAGCAACAACTTTATTGTGACTACCTCAATATTTTGTAAATACAAAATTCATTTTGTTAATATTTTCTATAATGTGGCTATATATGTTATGTGGTACAATAAGATGCTTTAACTGTTAACATGTTTAGGGAATGAATTACTTAGAGGAACGCCGTTTGGTACACCGTGATTTGGCTGCCAGAAATGTCCTTGTTAAGACTCCCCAGCATGTGAAGATCACAGACTTTGGATTGGCCAAATTACTTGGTGCAGAAGAGAAGGAGTACCATGCTGAAGGAGGAAAAGTAAGAGCATCAATTTATTTCTCCCTTCTGGTTTGCTTTATACAATGTTGAGTTTTCAGATATTCAAGTTCAGTTTTCGGTCACTTTAGAGAGTGGTGGAAACTATATTGACAAAGAAATTATATATAACCTATCCAGAATAGGTCAAACTTAGAAATTTAGAATTTATCTATATTTTATTTGTCTGCTTGTTTGTTTAGTTTGCTGGTTGGTTTACATATCCTACCATCTCAAAGAGACTGATTCAAGGCAGCTTTCAACATTTTGAAAAACTACTAACACATAAAGGCGGGATTCAAATAAATAAATAATATAGATGACAGCCAATGAGCCAAACCAACCAAATGGCACGGACTCTTAACAAGCTGATATCCATGTCTTGAGGGCTTTCCAAATGGGGTCTAGGATCTTTCACCTCCCACCCTTGGCCATGCCTCCTTCACCTCTCGCTTTGCGCCTCCACCCATTTAGTGTTCCTCCTCAGCTGGCCCTCCCCCACTCAATCTCCCTAGCCAATAGGCCCCTTGCCATCCACCTCATGCCCTTCGGCCTGGCCCTTTCGCCGAGGCACCCTTTGTCCCGGGCCTTTGGCTGCCTGGGACAGTTAGCCACCAACCAATCAGTGGCAGGGAGAAGCTATAGTGCTGCACGGCGGCAGCATGTGTGGGCAATTGCAGAGGCTGAGTTGTGGGGTGGGTGCACAGGCAAATGGTGGGGCAGGCACAGCTTCTCTGATTGTGGGGGGTGTGTGGATGCGCAGGTGAATGGTGGGACAGGCGCAGCTCCGACCATTGGGGGGCGGCCTGGCATGGGGCAGTGGGCAAACAGTGCATTATCTGGTACATTCATCCCATGTATTAAACAAACAAAGCACCAAATGTCTGTCTCAGAAATGTATGATTATCATATGTTTGTGAAGTCGAGCCTGATTAAATGCATTTAAAATTTAATTTTTTTTGCATGCTATTTGCTTACTCAATAAATCCCCTCCATGAATCAACAACAACCAAAGTGACTGCCACACAGCGCCTCAATTATTTATCGCCATGGCTGTTATTAGTAATGCTGCTGCAATTTCACCTATAAAAGGGCATTTAATATTTCCTGCCAGCTGGTAGACATATATGCCTGCTGAGAAGGTATGTACGTTTCTGGAGGGCTGGACTTTCTCCTGGAGAATAGATTGGCCTCAATCTTGCTGACATTGAGAACATTTCTGGAGGGCCAGGCTGGGGAAGCTGCAGACCTTCTGTCTACCTTGATTGTGCTGCCAAATTTCAGTCACCAGATTACAATAAATGAAAAAATAACCCAGATCAGATGACTGCCCCCTCCCCTCCCAATGATCACCTCGCTAACCCATTCTAGTCCTTGTGTCTCCTTCCTTCCCTGTGCCCTCTTTTCCAATGTTGTTTAATTGTGTGTGGAGAAAGGAGAGAGAATGGGAAGGAAGGAAGGAAGGAAGGAAGGAAGGAAGGAAGGAAGGAAGGAAGGAAGGAAGGAAGGAAGGAAGGAAGGAAGGAAGGAAGGAAGGCTGATGGCCTGGATATGGTGTCTGGCGGCAGCGATCTCTGGGGTGCTGGGTGCAACCTTGGCAGCAGCTCCATCTTCACCACAGAGTGCTTGCAAGGAATACAATTGCAGGGGACACTTCCAGCAGTTGGGTCCATTATGGTAGAAGTATTCGGGACTTCCCTTTTCAGAGAACCAACATACGCAGGCCATCAGCCTTCCTTTCCTTCCTTCCTTCTCACTCCAACCCTCTCCTTCCTTCCCTCCCTTCCTCCCTCCTTCCTTCCTTCCTTCCTTCCTTCCTTCCTTCCTTCCCACTCTCCCACTCTCCCTCACTTCTCCTCCCTCCCCTTCCTTCTTTCCCACTTTCCCTCCCTCCCTTCCCAGAATTGAGAAACACTGGCTAAAAAGTTTGGAGACTCTTCTTCCCCTCCCCCAGTTGCAGAACTTGTTACAGCTCTCTTCCAATCCTCTGTTGAGGGGGCGGGGCTGGAAGGGGGGAGACCCCATGCATGAACACGCACACACACACAAATTATTAAACAACATCAGAAAGAGGGCAGAATGAAGGAAGGAAACACAAGGACTAGAATGGGTTAGCAAGGTAATCATTGGGAGGGAGGGGGTAGTCTTCTGATCAGGGTTATTTTTTCATTTATTGCAATCTAGTGACTGAAATCTGGCAGCACAATCAAGGTAGACAGAAGGTCTGCAGCTTCCCCAGCCTGGCCCTCCAGAAATGTTCTCAATGTCAGCAAGATTGAGGCCAATCTATTCTCCAGGAGAAAGTCATTTCCAAAAGACAGACATAACAACAGAAAAGCCCTACTTCCTGAGTCCCACAAGATTTTTTTTTTTTACTAACTTCTGGATCTAGTGGAAAGAGGCAGCCATCCCACAAATTCCTATGCCATGAACAGCTTTATAGATGACAACCAGTACCTCCAGAATTGCACCCAGAAGCACGCTAGAAGTTGTTGTAGCACACTGAATAGAGATGTAGTATGCATACAGCAAGTTGCATGTTGAATGCTGAGAAAGACATTACTTCTCCCTGAAGTAAAAGTAAAATTCCAGTGGAATTTTTAATTGAGAAATATGCCGTCATCTGTGACCATCTCTACCAAACAATTTTACAATTCTCAATTGTAGAGCTATTTATTTATAAATAATTCATGGCTGTCACTCAGCTCACACCTAGGTGATAGCAGGTGGCTTATAAAATTCACATCATAAAAAGCCCACTCCTTCCCCTACATTTAGTAAAAATACATAAGAGCATTTTGCTGGCAATGCTTCTTTCAACTTTTCATATTTTGAACGGTAATTCTAGGTTATATAAGTAACATACCTATCATGAATGGCTGGCTAGCTGCAATGATATGTATAAAACAACATTTTGCAAGCATTAGCACATACTGTCATGCTTTTTAAAATAATGAACTTTGATTCTCATCTGCTTGCAACGGTTCCAACCTCTTTCTAGGTTCCAATTAAATGGATGGCTTTGGAGTCAATTTTGCATCGCATTTATACCCACCAGAGTGATGTTTGGAGTTTTGGTAAGTGTAAAAACATGTGTGCTGATTCTAAATTGATCACTGAGCTGATTTGCAAGCTGTGCTCTATAACATTTCTTCTTGAAGAGACAGAGGGATAATGTTATGGAATTGCATCTCTCCAAAGAGCCCTTGATGCACAAAATTAATATAACAGATGGTTTTTAATGGAAGCAAAATTTGGATCGTTTTGTCAAACTTCTATTGTTTAGTATGTGTGGAGAGAGATAGTGGTTTGGGTTATTATATATTATTTTATTTTATTATTTTATTTTATTATTTATTTGGCATAAAGAAATATTCAGTTATGTGATTTTTTAGGATATTCTCCATGCATAGATATATCATGTGAAGGAGAACAAAGTCTCACTGTGTTTGTTGAAACTATTTGGAGTAGGCTGTAAATAACATGCAAACCAGAATAAGCCATTGAGACTCTAAAATATGCCAGGAGAGAAAGCAAGTTCACAATTGGTCAACAATCATGGTTTTGTTATATACCTCTCTAAGTAAAAACACAAATAGTATAAAGTAGTAAGATGAAACTATGGATCTACCCAGATATCTGTATTTTTTCAAAAGAAATATGGCAGGGAGCTCATTTTTGTCTGATTGAAAGTCATGTGTGTAATAATTAAAATGTTGGACTGGGATCCAGGTTTAACTCCCAATCCAAATATACTGCTCAGTGAATTATTTCAGACCTATCAGTTGAAACTTGGATCACAAGTTCAATGACCAGATAAATAAATACTACAGAAAATACAGATTTGACAGTCTGAAATTGTGTTGCTCAGTGAAGCAAATCCTATACACCATCAGCTTTTCAATAATGTTTATATGGCTATTTCCCTCCAAAGTTTCTGATTATTGAAAGTCTAGGATTGTTGTTTCTTTCAGCCTATCATACTGCTAGTAATCATCTCTAGCCTATATCATTTCCAGCCTACTGTATATCAGCAGCTTATATCATAAATTGCATATATTACAAGAAGAAAAAGAAGAATTAGGCTGCATGTGTCAGTTCAAAATATGGTCAAACTCCTATTTGTTCATTAAATTAAAACAAAATCCTACCACAGTTCAAAAATTGTGTTAACACAGTTTTTGAAAAAATTTAAGACAAATAATTATTCTACTAAAATTACCAAAAAAAAGAAGAATGTATTGGATACAGATATAAAGTGATGCTTTAAAGAATAATGTTGAAAGCAGTTTTTACTTTTGTGAAATATACAGTTAGAAAATAATTTCATTCTTTGCAAGAAGAGTATTCCTCTCTGGTGATCGGAAAACAAACAAATGGTAATGAGCCCTTACTGCTTGAAATAATTAACAATGACTCCAATTCATTGAAATTTGTCTCTTGAGCAAATAATCAAGTTATTACATGCTATTAGTATTTGGCTTTCTAATTTTACTGGTTGAGCCTTTCAACTTTCTATGGTATTTCAGGTGTCACTGTTTGGGAATTAATGACATTTGGATCTAAACCATATGATGGTATTCCAGCCAGTGAAATTTCCTCTGTCTTGGAGAAAGGAGAACGGCTGCCTCAGCCTCCCATATGTACAATTGATGTGTATATGATCATGGTCAAATGTAAGTCATTACTATCTAAAAGCCCAAATTAATTTACTTGCTTGTTTTAAATAGAGTATTCACTCTTCTATATACATCTAAATTTGACAGTTAACAGTTTATATATTGCAAGCTTTCTGATATAATCCTGTCTTCTGCTTGTGTATAAAGTAATTTTATTATATAGACTACTTATAATGATTGTTTCAGAGTCAGTGTTATGATCCATAATTTAAAGTCTTTTTGATAATTTATCCGTTTTCTAACAAATGCTTCTGTACTTTGAAGTAATTTTATGGCCATTTTCCCCATATCTTGTTTGTGTTGTTCCTGTTATCACCTTCAGGTTGGATGATTGATGCAGAGAGTCGTCCTAAATTCAGAGAGTTAATAGCAGAATTCTCCAAAATGGCTCGGGACCCACAACGCTATCTTGTCATACAGGTGCTGAGCATGAGTAACATGGTGTTCACTTTTTCAAGCAAATGATACAATGTGCTCCAAATTTTAAAAACTTAAATGGACAAGTGGTATAGAACTGTTTTGAGATTCTTTTATTTTAAGTAGGTCAGTAAAAAACGCCATAAAATAATAGAGATATGAATACCTCGGTTTCATTTTAAACAATGGAATCGGACAACTCACCATGGCCAATTCGCTTCAGGACAACTTGCCATGGGACAATTTGCTATGGGACAATTCAACAATTTAATTTAATTTTTTAAAATAATTAAAAAAATATTTTAATTTTTGTAATTCACATTTTATTTTGTCCCTCTTTGGCATCCTTTCTTTAATGATTCTATTTGACTATTTCTTAGATATTAGTGTAATTCTTGTCCCGTGGCAAGTTGTCCCACAATGAGTTGGCCCTGGTGAGTTAACTGTGGTGAATTGGCTGTGGTGAATTTGAATTTGAATTTTGAATTTTATTATATTTATACCCCGCCCTTCTCCCGGAGGACTCAGGGCGGCTTACAGCCAGTTTAAAAACAATTAATACAATACAATACAAAATTTAAGAAAATGACTGTGATGAGTTGTCATAGACCCTTTAAACAATATTTTGTATTCATTGGATTGGTTCTGGCTATCTAAATCAGCACTTTGTAATCCCAATTTAAACTTAAAGAATATTTTGAAAGGTATGTATTATAATGGTACATATTGATCTAAAAAGCTGCATACCAATGATGGGCTACAGATTACATTCTATCCAGATATATAATAAATACAAAGAAAATTATAATTTCAAATTTATGGAAAAGAAGTTTTATTTTAAAACTAAGAATGAGAGAAAAATATTCCATTTTAACCTATTCTCACATAGAAAGAGATGTTGAATAAGCTGAGTAAATTTCCATAAGTACCACTCAATTTCCTATAGAATGTTATTACCAAGGAAATAAGACAAAAAACAACTTCTAGCTAGAAAATTCAGAGTTTTCTACTTTGGCTAAATATCTGAATAATGTGTATGGAAGCAAAACATTTGAGGTGTCTTCCACATCTTCTCTGGAGTTATTGTCTGAGGGTCTTCCTTCTCAGGTAATGGTGACCAAATTATCTGTCACCATGGAAGCAGAATGTTGGATAAAGTGCCTTTTGTGTTTAGAGTAATTTACAGTACTTTCCAAGAATATAGAACCATTCTTCTTCTCAATCTAAATGTATATTTTATTGTTGATCAGCGAATATTTTTGATAGTGATATTTTAACTCTCAAATTGTAGTAAGACGTAATGTTATAGTGGTGCACTTAGGAGTTATCCATCCTAATTGGAATTTGTTTCTGAGTAGGGAGATGAAAGAATGCACCTGCCCAGCCCAACAGATTCCAAATTTTACCGAAGTCTAATAGAAGAAGAAGACATGGAGGATATTGTGGATGCAGATGAATATCTAATTCCCCATCAAGGATTTTTCAGCAGCCCATCAAACTCACGAACACCTCTCTTAAGCTCATTGGTATGGAACTGTTTCTAAAGTTCTTTTTGAATGAATATCCTCCAAGCAAATAAGCAACTAATCTGTTGCATCAACATCCATAAAAAATCTTGTATCACATTTTAAGAAACACCACATTTTATTTTAATATCAGTTTCTTTGAGCAGACTTTTTGTCACAATAATTTTAATCTTTAGGGCAGTCTTCTCCAGTTTAGATAGCTGTGAGATATACATATATCAGCTGTTTAAATTCCATTGGGGGGGTCATAATTAAAAATATTGGATATTGGTCCACACACTTGGAGGTTTCCCAATTACTTCAGATTGAAGGGAGGCTTCTATGTTTAGTATTGTTGGAAGAAAAGTCTTTATCATGGTTCAGTCCATAAACAACACGGGATAAACAACATGGTGACTGCTTTAGAAAGAAGCTTGCAGTTTATTGAAGAGGAGAGCCAGACAGAAAGATGGCTCTGGCAGAAAAGAGGAGTGAACACATGTAGGGAGTGGGTTTTTATTTCCTCTGGAGCCTTTTGTTTGGAGTTGTTCCTGTGGCATGAACTTAGACCTGAGTCTGAGTGTGCCTTTCTGGTATTCTGATGGTGATGGGTTAATCCTATTATGTCCAAGGGTCATATCCTGCTTCCCTGAGGCTGGGGCTGATGACTCTTAGAGTTTGGATGGGGTATGTAGATTTTAGGTCTTTATCTTCTTAATCTCCTAGCTCCCTGGATTTACATCTGCATCTCTATAGAGCTGGTTTCTGCTTGGGGGAAGGGAGACCTGGGGCTATTAAGAAAACTGGGCATTCTTTCCTGCCTCTTTAAGATCCTTTTAATATTTCCTTCTCTGGGGGACTGATCTAATGGTCTTCATCTATTAAAATAAATTCATGAAACATTTTTCTCTTTTGTTTTAGAGTGCTACAAGCAATAATTCTGCAGTAACCTGCATAGATAGAAATGGGGTAAGTTTGAACAATTTGGTTTGATCAATTCCAGTAACTTCTGAATTGTTTAATGGTAATTTTTTGCCATCCATTAGAATATATATAAAACTCTTCCTGCAAGCCATTGTTTGGAATTAGAATGCCTTTTTTGTGTCAACAATGGAGTAGTGATTCCTCTTATTAAACTGTACTTTACTACAATTAGCAGGGCCATCCAGTGAGAGAAGACAGTTTCATCCAGAGATACAGTTCAGATCCAACTGGAGTTTTCCTAGATGATAGTCTGGATGATAGCTTTCTGCCTGCTCCAGGTAAGTACACAGACTTTTTTGAATCTTTGTGTTCCTCTCTGCTAACATTAATCACAGGAAAATAAGTTTTTGGATTTGATCCTGTGGAAAGAAACACCATTTAAAATTACACCGTCAGTTTTATTATGTCAATAACCAAAATTCCATTTAGAAGAAAATAGAAATTGAAATTGACAAAATAAAAGCAGATAAAAATAATAACCAAATAATCAATGTTGATTGGTTATAATGGATTTTACAAACCGTAAAACAAACTGTGGTCATATTCAAACACAGAGATGGCTAACAACTGTATCAAATAATCCAAAAATTTACTATGAGGGATACAAAATATAGCAATCTATTTATATAAAATGGACAATGCAAATATACATGAATTATATTTTCAACTGCTCCTTCAAATAAGGACAGACTCTTAAAGATTAAGATATTTTCTTGAACTTTCCTTCAAGAGTGGTTATTAGAGGTGAGTTAAAACAACCTGAGGCTAATGGCATCCTAAATGTGGGGGTGAATATTTGCTGGTCTAAAATAGTGTGACTGGCTACTAAAAAACATATACGAGTAGAGCCAGCAAAATCTAATTGTCTTTCTCTTTCTATAATACTTTGTTTAAGGCTTGACACTGACAGCTGATGTTATTGGTAATATGTCCTGTAAAAAGCATAATCCTGCAATAATTTATCTTGCTTAAGTCAATTTAAAATTATCAGCCAAGATCAAGGAGATATTGCCAATTTTGGGGAATTTTTAACAATATAATCCTATGCTTACCAGATGAGTGAAATATTATCTCTAAATATATTTTTTTTAAAAAATTGTTCAGTAAGGTGCTCATTCAATTGTCAAGCATAGAATCTATTCTAGACTATTAGTTTGGAATAATTTTCCCCCCAATGCTTCCTCTTTACAATAATCAGCCAAAGTACGCAAAGCTAATTTGAAACCAATTGGTACATATTAACATACTACATGCTCTGCATATAAAAGGACCTTAATGGACAGGAATTTCTCTGGAATACTGTTCTTTCACATTCCCTCAGATTTTTAATTTAGAATTTTTATAAACTTTTGCATATTGACTGCAGCAAGCATCTGTCTACTGTAGAACTTTTAAATCAGTATTACATTCTAGAGCTAGAATAAAAACAAATGCAGTAAGGGCAGCATACAATCAGACATAGCTTTAACAATATTATTTTCCACTATATGTTATGTATGATTAAAGCATGATCCAAAATCTATTCATCAGCCAACGTATGAACAAAATTGACCCAATATACAAATTTGTTATAAATATTTTGGGGATAAGGTTTGCCATTTGGTGTATATTTAAAGATGGATACTTCTCTAAAGTGGCAGGCAAATCTGAATTGCTTTTTTTATTAATAGACATTATAATAGCAAAGCTGCAATTCCTTAAAATCAGAGCAATATGATTTATGAAGGTAAATCTGATGTAAACTCTGGATAGTCAGATGAATGGCACATAAATTTAATAAATAAACAGAGATACTAATACCAGCATTCATCATTCCAGATTATTAAATATCTATATACCACTAAAACTCTCATTCCTATAATCTTTAACTGGGCACAGGTTTTCTAGTATACTACTAAAATTCTCATTCTTGGCTGAAACAATGCATGATAGGACAAACATTTTTGAACCAAGGTACCTCAAATGAACTAACTTACAGAATGTGTCCAAGAGACACATGACTGCAAAGAAAATGAAATGTGAGAAGGTTGTGGCTGCTTCAGTGTTGCTGAGCTATGCTGCTGTCACATGATGCTCATTTTGAATATTCTGCAACAGTTTTCCAGCTATTGTCTCAATCCCTTTTTCCTCATCAGCCATACCTGCCTGCTGTCCTTGGACTTCCAATTTCCTGCTGGCTTTTGCACTAACTTGCAAGCTCACCACAAGTAAAATAAACAGAAAAGCTGGAAGAAATTCAAAGGCGAGGTGGAGGGAGGGAGGGAGGGAGGGAGGGAGGGAGGGAGGAAGGAAGGAAGGAAGGAAGGAAGGAAGGAAGGAAGGAAGGAAGGAAGGAAGGAAGGAAGGAAGTTTTCAATTCTCCTTGCCAGTTTCCTTCCTTCCCCACCAATGGGAAGCCAGAAGAGGTTGGAAGTCAGTCCATTGCTTTTTGTCCACCCATAGTAATTCGATTCTCTGTTTACAGAGAAATATCTCTAAATGATGATCCAATGGGCATGAGTTGTCTAGCACTTATAATTTCAGCAGTGATAAATCATTGTCTGGAGATTTGACTTAATCTCAGTCTCCAATTCTCTCTTTAGACTACTGAATAAGGAGAGGAAACAAATCTATTTTGTGATGGTAACTAAATTTACCAAACAGAATCTAGTCATTTGTTCCCAGTGTTGCATTAAAATTACCAGTAAGATTATTTTAAAAAGAAAATAAGAAAATAATATGTTTCTTAAATACATCTTTATGTTGGGTTGATAGCATCAACTGTCCAGTTGGCATTTCCCAAAAAAAGAAATTCCTGGGACATGATTTTACCAAGAGTATAATATTTTACTGAAAATTTATATTGGCACAGAAGAAGCAAAACCAGCTCTGGTTTTCCCACTCAAAAGCTTATTAATTAAACAATAGATTCCCTCACCCCCACCCACCGGGTGTTCATATTGTCCAGTAGTAATACTTCTTGTTACGGGAAAAGTCCACTTCTCCATTGAGCACCTGCATTAGTGATCTTGGCATTCTTGCAAGTTTTCAGTTGCCTAGATAACCACCCCTTCCACCTTTGCATTCCATTTCATAATCTTGTCAAGCTATGAACAAGGGAGAAAATGTAGGTGAAAGGGTGAATCAGTCTTGACAGTAGTGTTAATGTGAAAAGTTCACCTAGTCAACACTGTTATGTTGTCTTTATCCCACTTCACTTCATGAAATCTTATAACAATTTACTGTTAGTCATTGTTCATGCTGTTTAGTTTTGTTTTTCAATGTCTTTTAGATTTTTGTTTTCCTAACTACTGTCCTCTCTGCTTGAGATTTTTTACTAGTAATCTCATGTCCTGCCTTCTGACCTATATAATAAATTGTCTGTATTGTACCTGGATTCCATTTGTTCATAGGGAGTTTAATACTGAAATGTGTCCTGGCCTCATAAACAACAGTCCCTGCATAAATCAGTGTTGTATACTACAGAAAGTCCAAGTTTCAAATAAACACACAAGTAGAGAAAACACTAGAGAAGCAGAAAAAGAAAGTGAGAGTTCAAAAACAAACTCATAAAATCCAAGATATTTACAACTAGGAAATGTGTTGTGACTTTCTCAGAGCACTTCATGGACTTTATCTAGATTGCTTCAGGGACTTTATCTAGATCTGTCAGGTGCAGCTTTCTCTTTGTGTTACCAAACACTGTTATAATGCTTTGTCTTTTGCTAGTCTCTCTTCAGATATCAGCTGTTATGTCCTGGGCCTGTGATTGACAGAGCAGGTGCCGGAAGCTGCAGAGAGACGGGCAGACCACATGGCTGCCCGGGACAGACAGGCTGTCTCCAGCCTATTGCGCACGCACAAAGTGGGAAAATATGTTGCATTTATTGGCTGATGCTGTTCCCTGCAAAAGGGTATAAAAGGGATCCGTGCCATTTTGTGTTGTTCTGTTGAAGCTTGAATAAAGAAGCAACTGTTGTTACACCTGCCTCGTCTCAATGCCTTACCAACGCACAGAAGAGAACATTGGCGACGAGGATGGGATTGTGCTGCAAGGAAACAGCAACAAAAGAATACTAGGCTGACTCACCACGGGAGGCCAAAGTGCTTGGAAGTTCGGCGTTCCGACTTGTGCGACTTTGCCTGCCAGTACGAAAACGCTGGAGGAGAGCTCAGCAAGATTCGCCCTGGAACCCCTTTGCAAGCCTGAGCAGCATGAGGCGTTGATGGGGCCGCCAAGGAGGAACGATGGCTAAGATAGGGCGTTTCTCTGAATTTGATACAGCGCACCCTGAACGTTGGAGTTCATAAGTTGCCAGAGTAGAGAACTACTTTCGGGTAAACCAAGTGCGAGAGGATGGGCTCAAAGCCGCAACGTTACTGTGTGTCTGTGGGCAAGAGACATTTGATATTGCTGAAAATCTGGTTGCCCCAGCACCTCTGGAATCCATCACTTATACTGAGCTTAAGAAAATGTTAAAGGAACATTTTGAACTAAAGCTATCGTTGATTGCATGGCGTCATGCATTTGAGCAGCGGGACCAATGTCCAGGAAAGTCTGCTGCGGACTTTATTGCTGCTCTGCAGCAAGCTGCAAGGCCCTGTGAATTCAAAGACTTAGAAGAACGGCTGCGTGATTGGCTTGTTTGTGGCTTGAGGAGCCGAGAGCTGCAGCAAAAGATCTTTGCAAGGGAAGACGTTTCCTTCCAGGATGCGCTAAGGGAAATCACGGCTGACGAAACAGCAGGAGGAGCTGTTAAGGCCTTGTGGCTTTCCAAGAACCCTATAAGTTCGGGCTCAATCCATCAAGAGGTTGCTCGAGAGATATCCGAACTGGATTCCAGAAATGAGGTTGACCGTCTGCAGCAGCTGGCAGAGAGAAGGCCCCAAGAGCGTGCTGACAAGGGGTCTGACAAGGCAGTTCTATTCCCTCAGTGTTTCGGATGTGGAGGACGCCACAAGCACTTCGACTGCCGTTTTCGCTCTGCTACTTGCTGGCCATGTGGCCGGCAAGGCCACATAGCCGCTGTCTGTTTGGGTCAAGAGAAAGACCGTCCATTGGAAGAATTGCCTCGGAAAGGTATCAGGGTCCCCAGCCAGAATAGGATGGGTTTCTGCGCGTCCCGCAGAAGCGTTTGGAGAACAGAGGCCCACTGGCCATTGAAGAAGAAGCTGCGTATTGATGTCAAATTGCAGGGGATCCCCTTAACAATGGAGTTGGACACGGGTTCAGCTCTGTCAATCATTTCCCAGAACACCCTCAAGCAGATCTGCTATAGAAGCGGCCAGAGAGTCAAACTCAGGCTGTCAAATCTTATCTTAACAGACTTCCAGAATTCCCGAGTCAGTGTGAAAGGGGAGGCCACGCTCAGAATGCAGTGTAGGCAATTTGAAGGGTTTCTGGACATTGTTGTGGTTGAGGGTGACCACACGAGTCTAATCAGACTCAGTTGGTTTGAGGCACTTGGGATTCAAGTGACTGGGCTACACAGCTTGCAAACGGCAGGCCTTGCGGAGGTTTGCAAGGAGTTTGCTGATGTGTTCAGCCCAGAGCTAGGGTCGTACAAGGGGCCTCCAATTGCTTTGTGGTTAGATCCCTCCATTGCATCGATTAGGATTAAGCCTCGTCAGGTGCCTTTTGCACTTAAGCAAAAGATTAATGCCGAGTTGGATAAACTGCTACAGCAAGGTATTTTGGAAACTGTGGATAGGAGTCCATGAGAAACACCCATAGTCACGCCACTCAAGGCCAACAGGGAAGTCCGCATTTGTGCTGACTATAAGTGCACGCTAAACAAAGCATTACAGCAGCACTCTTATCCGGTGCCTGTGGTGAGCCACATTTTGGCCTCACTTAAAGGAGGCCGAGTTTTCATCAAACTCGATTTGGCTCAGGCCTATCAACAGCTACCGGTTGATGATGCAATGGCAGAGGCCCAGATGATCGTAAGGCACCGGGGAGCTTTCAAAGTCAGAAGACTGCAGTTCAGGGTTAACGTAGCTCCAGGCATTTTCCAAAGCGTGATGGAGCGAACGCACCGTAACATTCCGGGAGTTTTCCCATATTTTGATGATGTCCTCATCGCAGGGGAATCAATTGAAAACCTGGCTGAAAGGCTTCGGTCTGTTTTGCTGCGTTTCCGCGAAGCGGGGCTGAAGCTTAAACAGGTCACGGCATTGTTGTCTTCAAATGCTGTTCTCACTCATTTCAATGAGCAGCTGCCAGTGTGAATAGCCTGCGATGCATCCCCTTATGGGATCGGGGCTGTCCTAAGCCACCTCAAGGCTGATGGGACACAAGTTCCTGTAGCCTACTATTCAAGGACTCTGTCTTCTGCTGAGCGTAATTACGCACAGATAGACAGAGAAGCCTTGACCATAGTGGCTGGCATAAAAAGGTTCCATGACTTTTTGTATGGTCGCCACTTCATGGTCTTTACAGACCACAAGCCACTGCTGGGGTTGTTCACAACGAACAAGCAAACCCCACACATAATTTCTCCTAGAACATTGAGGTGGTCAATTTTCCTTTCTGTGTATGACTACTCCCTGGTTCACAAACCAGGCAAAGAAATGGGCCATGCAGATGGCCTTAGTAGGTTGCCTCTACCGCTTATAGAATCAGATCCTGCTCCAGCTAACCACATACTGGCTATCCAGGATTTGCCTGAGTCTCCCCTCAATGCAGGGGATGTGGCTGCAGAAACAGCCACTGATCACACGCTAACACGCATGTTGACATGGATGCTGTCAGGATGGCATGGCACATGTCCTGGCACCAATTTCCAGAGTTTCTGGAAAAGGAAGCATGGGAGCTAGCACCACAGGTTAGCTGATTTTCTCCTTTGCCATCGCACCACACCTTGCACAGCTATGGGCAAGAGACCAGCTGAACTCTGCTGGGGTCGACGGCTCATTACCAAACTGGACAGATTGCACCCAGACCGGGTGGCTTCACAGGTGTCACAGCCGCGGGCACCGAGGAGCCTACAGGTGGGCGATCCGGTTTGGGCAAGGAACTATGGACCTGGACATCTCTGGGTGACAGCAGTGGTCTGCAAAGTCACTGGGCCACTGTCATACGAAGTGGCCTTGGATGATGGTCAAGTGCTGCATCGGCACATTGACCAGCTGCGATGGAGGCTACCTCATCACCCTTCCGCTCCTGACTCTGCTCTTGGGGGGGAGGTCCACGATCACGATCGTGGATCTCAGTCTCTCTGTGAAAGCGGGAGTTTGCACTCTGCAAATAAGGGTTTTGCCAATGAGGCAAGCTTGCAGACCAGGCACTTGCAGCAGCTCCGAGACACTTGGAGCGGGTCAGAGGCCCTCCAAAGTTCTTACAAGATTATGTAAGGTTCCTGTCAGTAAGCTGGCAGGCCTAAGGGTTCCCTGGAAATAAGAACACACTCAAAGGGATAACCTTGTAGTAGTTAAAAATAGTAGTGTCTATTATTATTTTTGAATTAAGAGGGGAGGGGTATTATATCCTGGGCCTGTGATTGACAGAGCAAGTGCCGGAAGCTGCAGAGAGACCCGGGCAGAACACGTGGCTGCCCGGGACAGACCAGGCTGTCTCCAGCCTATTGCGCACACGCAAAGTGGGAAAATACGTTGCATTTATTGGCTGACGCTGTTCCCTGCAAAAGGGTATAAAAGGGATCCGCGCCATTTTGTGTTGTTCTGTTGAAGCTTAAATAAAGAAGCAATTGTTGTTACACCTGCCTCGTCTCAATGCCTTACCAATGCACAGAACAGAATACCAGCATTCACAAATGCTATGTGAAGGAGGCTCCACTGATTTGGAAGAAGATAAAGCTTTATAAATGACAAAACTAGTTGCAGATTGTGGTGTTTGTAATATAAACTTTTTAAAATGCAGTAATTGCATAAGTTAGTGTGAACTTTTGCTGGTCTCCAGAAGGCTGTATCAATTTAAAAATTAATGAACAATGTCTCATTAATAGAAATTTGCAGTTAAATAAAGGTAAGATGTTGAGTCATATATACTGTTCTAAATATATGTTTTGTCTTTTTAAAATCATTTCAGAATACGTAAACCAGCAAGTGACCCCAAATGCATCTGCTTCTATGGTACAAAATCCAGTCTATAACACTTTCTCCCTTCCCATTGATCCAAAGTCTATGAATGATTCAAATCAAGAAAAGCTGCATAACACAGCACTGGATAACCCAGAATATCTCAACACAAGCCTCTCGCCTTTGGCTAACACAGTTTTTGATAGCTCCTCCTACTGGGACCAGACAGCCAACCACCAAATCAATCTGGACAATCCAGACTATCAGCAAGACTTCTTGCCCAGAGACAACAAGCCTAATGGCATTGTTAAACTTCCTCCAGCTGAGAATCCAGAATACCTAAGGGTAGCAATGCCAAAAAATGAATACATTGAAGCCTCAGCATGACCATGATAGAGACTTTGTATAATCTGAGCAATACAGGCAAGAAACATAGATGAAAGAGTTGTTTGCTATATAGAAACAGACTGGTTAGATTAAAAATCATCATTACATTTTGGAGTACACTTTTTTCTTTCATGTGTCTGTACCGTTTCAGCAAGTTTGCTTAGAACTTCATTTATTTCTCTGTTTACAAAAGATGCAACAAAGAACCAAGAAATATCAACCACCAAGCAATATTTTTTCTTAAGCTATATATTATCATCACAGCCTTTTTCTGAATATTAACTGCTGTAATAAGCATCCACCTTAAGTCTATTTGATATCTTATCTTTTATAGGCAATTTGGGGTACTTCTTTAAAAAAGCCTTTATGATAGCAAATGACAAGTTGTTTATTCCATGTGGATCACAGTGAAAGGAGCATAGGGTAAGTAGAAGGACTCAAGACTGAAATCATTTTGCCAGTCTCCTTAATAGAATTACTAGTAGTTTGATTTAAAGAGAAGCTTGTTCCTATGCTTTAGTCCAGCTATTTGAACACCAGCTTATTTGCTATTTTATTTGCAATGAAAATAATATTTTTTAAAAATGTGAGAATTCTGCTCGATATAACTTTGATTACATTGGGGGAAAGAATGCCTAGTGCTTCATATAGCACATACTGCCACCACTACTATTGGGAAGTTCTGCAGGTTTCAGTTCAGGAATGTTGATAAAATCCAAAAAGTTCAGGAATAGTCATCAGGTACTCTCTTGCATGTTTCTGTAATACTCATTGTAGGTATGAGCAGCATTGTTTCTTTGGTCTGTTGTGCTTTTGTGCTTGTATCTTAGTTTCATGATCTTTAGAGGCATGAAAAATGAACTTAAATATCTGCAAATTGAAAACATTGATTCTTGTTTTGCACTTCAAACATTCCACTTCACTGCCTTGTTGCATTTGAACACAGTATGTATATAAAATGGTGAGGAAATGCCATTTGGCTAAAATTGAATTATTACATACATCCATTACATGCACTAAGGATGGATCTTGGAGAAATCTATTGCAAAAACTGAAAAAAGTCTATGATGTGGCTCAACTTTCATTTATCGTGAATTTATGCAGAAATTATTAGTAGAGAAAATATTACATCCAGGGAAAATATTTTAGACCAAAATTCAGCATTATATGATAAATAAATATATAACCAGTTAATTTGCAGAAGTCATATGAGGCATGATTCAGCAACTGCATTTAAAGAGGTAAATTAACTTATTCTTCCAAAATATTCCACCAAAGTAGGATGGTTTTCAGGCCAGCCTGATCATTATATATTAAACTGATGTTCTAATACAATGCTTGTACATATTTCTATTCAGAACTTAGCCCAATGAATTCAATACAGTTGTCTATCTAATAGGAATATATAGGATTGCAACCTAGTAGTGTGATCTAGTATACGCCTATTTTAAAATAAGACCTATTAAATTTAGGGGGATTTATTTCTGTGGTAGTATGCATAATATTGCAGCTCTCCTGGTCTCTTATATCATGGGAGTAGTGGCAACAGTCTAATACTGTTATCCCTCTTAGTTTGAGTTTATGACTTTGATATGTGATAAGGCCACTATATAACAATTTCTATATTGTTCAAAATAATGCTGAATGTAATCATTAGAATCCCTACCTTTATTACAAATGAAAAATCATTGAGAAATAGCTATTCCTCTTTTTAAGGATACTATAAATTATGTAAATTATATAAATACATATGGAAAGCCCTGAGTATAATTCATTACGTTAGGTTATGGCATTTCATATCCCAGGAAATATAAGGTAAAAATCATCACATAGTTGAAAAAAACTAATCACACATATAAATGTATCCTCAAAAAGTTGGAGATGTTCTAAATAGTTCACTATGAAGCACCAAATCATCCTGAATATCTATTCTTTACAATGCTGTTGACTTGGCTCTGGGTAATGGAAACTAAAGACTATAGAGAGTATAAATATATCTGGAAACTCTGATTTGGACAAACAAATCCAGTACTTAACTGCCTTTTCCAGTGAGTTTGATTGTATGACATGGCCAAAATACGTAAGGCCAAATTTTATTATTCTGGCTATATTTCTAGTTTTGTATGCTCCATATTTGCTTGTTTGTCACATTTGCTTTACAAGAAATGTGCAAGAATCTTCTCTAACACCATAGCTTGAACAAGTCCATTTTCCTCCTGTTTTTTTCATGGTCCAGCTTTTGTAGCCATAGGTAACTATGGAAAATATGATAGTGTGGACTAATTCTCATTAAGTTGCCAGAATGTATATGTACTACATACATGCAATGAGCTGTATATACATTTCCTGCTCTGATTTGCAGGAATTGGGCACAATTCTATATGCATTCTATATGCATGATGTCAAGTAAACAAATTATTTTGCTTATATAGCAGGAGGTATACAGTGTAAAATCATCTTGGATTGTTACATATAATGATTTTTCCTTTGAAAACTTATATTGATTCCCAAGCAAAAGATTTGTGTAAATTGTGGTTATGTATGAAGTCACCCTAAGTGATATTTTGCATTTCTGAACAAGGATTTCATTTTGAGGACTTAGATAATAAAATAAAAATTATTATCCACCCGTCGTGGTTCCGACAGCGTTGACACACCTCTTCGATGTCAGCAGTTATTAACATGCTCTAATTTTCTATGATTTATATTTCTCTGTGAGAAAATACGTTAGAAAAAGTGGGGAAAAATCTATTTATTCTTATCAGCCATGTTTAAATTGTGTATCAATAGTGTGATCAATATATCATACTGCCAAGGAACAGCCCTCAGATGTAGAATCTTCAGTTGCTGGTAAACATATTTCTTTCTCTTTAAGATCCATATTACTTTTTCATATTCCTTATAATATTTCACTTTTTATCTGGCATCAGACTTTTTAAATAAGTCTTTTTAGAAAAATCATTACACTTCTTTTTACATAAAAAAGGATATTTTGATGTTGGAACTGAGGACATTGTCAAGAAGACATTCTTGTTGTAAATCTATATAAATAAAAATGTAAATGTTCGTTTGTTCAAAATCTTAAATCTCTGAAAGTTCTTCACCGATAGCTCTGAAATTTTGACACAACATTGCATTTGAATACGCGCGTGTTTTTATATATCTATAGGTGTGACAGGTAAAAACATGTTTTTGAAAAACAGCACCATCTGTTGGACGTAAAAGCAACACACGCTTTTACCAGACTGAGCCACAGCAACGCGTGGCTGGGTACAGCTAGTTCATAAATAAAAATTGGTTATCACCACTTTCATAGGCTCTTATTATTAATGTAAGAGAACATTTAATTGTGATTGGGCATAACTAGACTCCTATTTTAAACAAGGGAGTATGGTGTACTTTCCTAGAGCAACATCAGTCAATGAATGGCAAAAATTGTGCATCGCATTTTAAGATAGGCTTCTATGGAAAGTTCAGTATTAATATGGATTCAGGGAATGGTAATAAGACAGTAATTCTTATTAGACAGTGTTAAAGAGGCTAGATTGCGACCAGGGAGACCCAGTCCATCTTTAGGCGCAAAGGTTTCCTAGGTAACCTTTTTAAAAGTTGCTTGGAGAAAATGAGACGAAGGGAATATTCTATCTGCCATATCACTCTTCCAAAGAAAAGGCAGAATATAAAGATAATTTTAAAAGTATGATATTGTACTATAAGGATAAAGGGAATTGTGTAGTTGTTTGATGAAATGTATATAATTCCAATGGAAGAAAATGTCTGTAGCTCAGGGTTGAACTGTGGAGTCCTTGATGCTCTCTGTGCTAGCAGTTGTTTTATTGCCCAATTAGGCAACATCATCAGCACTCTAATGCACTATTTAGAAAAAGAAAGTCAACTTCTGTGACTAGATTCACTAAGGGAAAATTATGCACAACATGTAGGTACATATGTGGGTAGCTATTTGGTGCATAAGAATTTAATTTGCTAGCTAGGAATGGGATGCATATTCTGGCCCAGAGCTCATAAGTGTTTCACCAGGAATTAGAAACTGAATTCAAAAAAGATCCTGTGGAGTTACTGTGAGATCATTGAAATGCATTAACTTTATGTAGATAGGATTAAAACAGGTCTATAAAGAATTTGTAGTGTTTGTTTAGCTTTCAAACCACTGACCTGCATTTCTGTTCCAAATAGACATTATACAAGAATAATAGAATGCATATCAGTAGCTTAAGCATTGTAAATACAGCCATCTACAAAAGCAGTTTGTATACCAATTAAGGAATTGTAATCCAATTGAATGGAGCAGTAGACAAATTAAGAACTAAGACAAATAAACTAATGTCACATTTTGTATCTGTGTTTTAATGTTAATCTGTGTATATCAAGTGATGAAAAAGATTTATATAATTCTTTTCCATCTTTTAATATGTGGGAATTATTGTAATATAGCATATTACATTTGTTGTGTAGTAAAGGATTGCCTTCTGGCATTATTGATACTGAAAGGTCTGCTTTTGTTTTTGTTTTTAATTTGATAGTTGAAATTATGTAAACATGCAGAATGATCCAGAAATTAAAAGAATTGTTATTATTGCCCCAATGTATTAATGTAGAACCACATTCCAGCAAAATTAATGGAAATTGTTCCTTAAAATGTTGGGGTAACAATAGTATAACAGTTATTTACAGTATTGATTGACCTTTAAGATGTTTATTCCTGCTGCCTTATCCAATAATTAACAATAACCATTTACTTGACATTTATTTGAGGCAATCTGGAGAATGTTTGATTTCCAATGTGTTACTTCTGGATACATTAATATTCCAGGTATTCCAGAAGCTTATCTTCACAATAATGAAAATACAACAATTCAGAGATATCAGTAGGAAGAAATTAAAATTAGAGATCATATAAAGAGAGAAGACAGAGACTGTGTCTATGCCCCCAAATTCCATTGCTTGGTATTATGTAAATAAATTTGTGTCTCTCTAAATAATATTGTTTGATAAAATGCTAGACGTTGTCTGCTTTGATTTTTACAATTCCTAAATTTCCAAGGAAAAAATTAATTGGATCTTTTTGTATATGCTCGGTATTGTAAATATAAATATTCTTTTCTTCATAATCTGGGCAATGAAAGATGCTGAATTTGGAAGAGAGAGACAGAGAGAGACTACTGTACAGAGAACAGAGAAAGTAAAAATAGCTTTATGAAATGACAGTAGTGTCTTGGTAATTCCCTATTAGATTAAACCTAAAGAAATACATTTTATAAAACTTTTCAAAAGAAGCACTTTGCATAAAATAAAGGGCTACTTTAATATTTTGTGTTTTTTTTTCTTACAGTCCATTCTGAAAGTGGCAGTTGCATAAGCTACCAATATTTTTTAATGCAAATACTTTGTAGTCTTAAAATGTCACATTCCTTGTTTTCAAAAATGACCATGATTTGTTTTTAAAGCATGATTGCGTTTATCTCAATAAAGCCTATGAAACAATCTTCCTTCTACTTGTTATTATTTAAAGATGTGGGTTTAGGCAATCACTTTTTAGATAGTGGCCAGATAGCTATCTTTGCAGGACAAACAATCTGGCAACGGGAACATCCTACTATCTGTCAGCCACCATGTGACAGTAAAAAAATTCAGAACCAGAATTTCATTATTTTCAGGCACATAGAAGATATTCATGTCACCTTTTTCTGCTTCTGGAAAGAATTGCTATGCTTTAAAAGTAGCTTATAAGTAACTAAAATCTGCTAGTCAATATTGGAATCAATTTATTGGTAAATAGATGAATTTTAATTCTCAATTGGGGGTTCAGATAATAAAAAATATATTGAAAAACTGCAGAAATATCCTGTAATATACTGTAAATCACCACAAGATGGCATACAACAAATGAAATATATTTTAGTGAATATTATATGACATCTTCTCTTCAGTATGAACTATATGTGTTGTAGTTCTGGAGATTGAGTGCCAGGTTTGTTCACAACATCTGATATCTCCTGAAAAACTTACATGTTGGCTTTTTACTAAATTTCAGTGAAAATTCAGGCAGAATAAAAGTACGGTACATAGAACTGTACACTCTGTTTTTGCGCATTGTATTTTATATGCCCTCTGTTCTGCAAAGGCTTAATATTTCTAAAGATCTCCTGTTACGATTTTTATTCAAGGTCTACTGTAGGCTTTGGGAAGGCCCCTATTATATTTTAGGGGATTATCAAAGGCCTTCTCAAAAATTGGCTTAATAAAGTTTAATACTGCAATTATACAGGATAGTGAAACAAAGCAGAAAAGAGTCCCAAGGAAGAATATGCTCACAAAAAAATTGATTGATGGTGCTAGTTACAATAAAAATCTGATTATATCTAGGCTACTATTTCATCCCAGGTCAATGATGTGGGATGGAGAGAGCACCTGAAGAAGATTTAAGACAGGGTAGGTCCATACTTTGTAACGAGCGCTATCAATCAATGTAATTTCTCTTAATTTAGTTCTAGACAAACAGCGAAGGAGAAAGCAAATGAAACAGAATGCCTTTGGTTTTTCTGAACCACCACATAATGTCTTTCCTCCCCCATCTCCCTCTCCCCTGATAGGAAAGACCCATGTTAATAAATTGGCAGCACATCTCTGCTTTTATTGTTTATGCTACAACTGCCATTGGCCTTGGTGTTAGTTTTCCTTAAATTTTTCGTAAAGCTAGTATTGCTCTTGCTAGCAGCAATCAGACAAGAAATAGCTTTGCCCTGAAAGTCAGCTAAACTGATTGAGAATAATATTAAAAGAGGAGTAAGTTTTTGTTGCTAAGATGTATGGCAAGAGTGGGCAACGAGAATCTCAGAGTTAATTTTTACAATGCATTTTGGAAAATGTATTTTGGGGAATCTGGGTAAGATAAATCCTAATGTTATCTTGGGAAATGCAAAGTTGGTTTGCTTATAATACTATAATTCCATCTTTCTTCCAAAGATTTCTCCAAGAAAAATATGATGCCTTCTCTACAGGACTGGTTTAAAGACACATTGAGTGAAACTCATTCACTGAATGACTGGCATGTGCAGGATGTGTTTCTAGTCCCAAGGGGCATTCTCCTCCAAGGCATGAGTAATAAATACAGGTGCAAAATGGCAGTGCAAATAAGCAGTACCCTGCTACCCTCTGGGTATGATCCACCTTACCAAATTTGTAAAGAAAAGGTTCACATTCAGGACTCAAAATTTCTATCTTAATCAATGATTTTTAAAGCTTTTGAGAAGTCTAACTCAATCAAGACTCTCCCTGCTAGGGGAAGATCAGGTCAGCCAAGTAAATTTCAGGAAGAAGATTTCAAGGAAACTGAAAATGGATTTAGATACTAGGAAAGTCTACTTAGGTATCTCTCTAGGTGAGGAGAAGCTAGCAATAATTATCACCAACTAAGCTTTTCTTTAAGTCACATATCTTCAGGAGCACAAAAAAATGAAATAAGTTGTTTCAGAAAATGTGGAGGAGCTGTCCTTAGAACTGCCCCACCATCACTTGAATCAATTGCTTATGCTGAGCTGAAAAGAATGCTGTGAGAACATTTTGAACCAAAGCTTTCGGTGATTGCATGGCGACACGCATTCGAGCAGAGGGACCAGAGACCTGGTGAGTCTGCTGCGGACTTTATTGCTGCGTTACGACAAGCAGCTAGGCCATGCGAATTCAAGGATCTGGAAGAGAGACTTCGGGATCGTTTAGTTTGTGGACTGAGAAGTCGTGAGTTGCAACAGAAGATCTTCGCAAGGGACGACGTCTCTTTCCAAGATGCCTTGAGAGAAATTGCAGCCAAAGAAGCGGCGGGCGGAGCTGTAAAGGCCTTGCAGCTCGCCAAGAACCCTCCAACTGCGATCTCCGTCCATCAAGAGGTCGCTCAAGAAGAATCCGAACAGGAGCCAGAGATGGAGGTGGACCAACTGCAGCAGCCAGCGGAGAGAAGGCCTCAAGAGCGCAGAGACAAGGCAACCTCATTTCCTCGGTGTTTCAGATGTGGAAGACGCCACAAGCACTCTG